ATTTGCAAATAAGATATATATGTGTGTCAACAAATGCCTGACAAGTTAACCCCCCCCCCCAAAGTTAACCGTGGTTATCTCTGGGTGCTGGGATTAGGCTCATTTCCTTCTCCTGGTTCATCTGCTTAAATCTATTCTTTATCATAAACATAAATTCCATGAATCGCTTTTACAATCCAAAAAAAGTCAACTGCATGAGAAATTATACTAATAATCCTGCCATGCCCCCAAGGGACGAGGCCCCTAGTTATGGGGTGACAGAGTCACACCTGTGTTCGATGTTCCACGTCATGACAGCCTCTCCTGTTAGCGTTGTAAGAGATGTTCTCGCCACCACCCTCTGATCATCACAACAGTCAGCACGACAGGTGTTCGTGTGTGCTCTTGCCTCATTTTGTACTAACCCTACAGCTACCAGTGCCCACAGAGGCCCTGGACCCCTGGCCCCTCTGCCTCTRCGCCCACAAGCCTCTAGCTGCCTCTGCCTGTTCCCAGGGAAGGGCAGAGAAAGACCCCAAGGGGAGAGGCCTCACTCCTGAGGCCAGTTCTATGCTCCTCCTCCCTGCAGAGAGTGCAGGAGGTGACCAAAAACAAGTCAGCAAGGGAGGGGACATCAGCAAGGGGAAGGCCTGGCRCTGACCGAGGTCAGGGCACAGAGTGGACTAACCGGGGGACTCCTCGCCTGCCAGGCGACACTCAGGAAGCCCGACTACATCCGGTAGCAGGAGTTCCCAGGCCCCGTGAGCCCAGAGGCAGCGAGAGAAAACCTCGCAAGGTCTCAGGCTGCCCTGTGAAACAGCAGGAGGAAGACCGCCTTCCTCTGGAACCTTCTCCCCAGACTAAGTGACTGCAGGCCAGTCCTCCAGCCCTGGACCTCCAGGGCCTCCCGGTGGGGAGGGTGGGGGAGGGGAGGGCTGCTGCTCCAGGACCTTCCCAGACCTGAATTCGGTGACYCTGCGGGACTTCCTCACCAAGGGCCCCGGCAGGAAGAGGAAGGGGGCCAGGAGTCTCCACCCTGCTCCCAAAGGGGCCCCCTCCTCTTCCCTCAGTTGTGGTTCCCACTTCTATTTTTAGAACAGACCACAGGGGAGCGCCTCACCTCCACCAGCCCGCCCCCACCCTTGGAGCTCCAGGTAAAACAGGGGCCCATTCATTCCGCTCCAGCAAGAACATGCCAGGAATTTCTAGACAAGCCGGCCACTAGACAACCTCTCCCTAAGCCATTAGCTGGCCTGGTTTCTCACTTTTCCATTACAGCCAAAACAGTGGCTTGTATTTCTTAATGACAACTCTGTGCATTGCTGAGAGACGAGGAGAGCCATCTAAGACCATCTGTGCCCTGCTCCGTGCCCCCAACCCAGCAGAATCTTCAAAAGCCTGGTACCAGCTGTGTGCCCTTGGCCAAGTCTTACCTCCCAGTTGGTTTGGTTTCTGTAAATCACCTTGTTAATCAATGGACCTCAGTAGGGAACAGGGGAGGATTATTTATTTATTTATTTATTTATTTATTTATTTTAGAGACACCTTAGAAGAGTCTATGGTTAATTCTAGTTATTCAACATAAATACTGACTTCTCTGCTTTGGGATATGTGCTGGGTTGTGGTCCCAAAGTCTTCTGGGGGTTAACCATCGAATGTACTTTCCAATGGAAACCGTGTCATAAATCATGGTCATCTTCCTGGGCTACTTTTCCCTTAATGTTCTTCCATGGARGAAAAATGGTAGAAAACTAAATTTGCAATAATAGAATTAAACTCAAATGGAAAAGCACTAATGTTTAAAAGACACCTTTTAAGAAAATTTATCTTCAATAGTATTGTCTGAGGGATAAGGAACAGATGTTAAGGGCAATGAAACAAGTCCACGACAACTTCTGGGGAAGGGTCTGCAGGAGAGAGAGACTTCGACCACTCCAAAAACTGAGCACTGCACATTGATGACCATCAGTTCCACTTGAAGTCAGCCTGATGCTGTAGACCAGAGCTGGTAAGGTTCAAGACACACATGTGCACCTGTCGCTGTGAAGTTCCAACGATTCCTGGGTGTGCCAGGCCACCTGAGCAGAAGGGAAGGAGGGAGGGGAAGGTTCTAGRCTGAGAGCTCCTTGTGCTGGCCTCCCAGGGGAGCCTGGAAGAGGTGGCCCTAGGTGAGATGGAGGCAGGAATGGGTTTAATTTTGGGCATCTGTGATGAGGACCCTGACTGGTATAAGATCCACAAGCAAGTGAGTTAGGAGTGCATGATGGATATTAACCCAGTACGTGTGCGTGTTTCCACACACATGCTCTCTGATGTCTGCTCCTTCTTCACCTTAAGRGTCCCGAGGCTTCCTGCCCATTCTCCCCTCTGGAATCCAGTGTGGAACTGTCCCAAGGGATCAGGTGTGTGTCTGGAGACAGTGACAATGATGAAGAACTTGAACTAGTTCCAGCTGTCCATCAAGGGCTCTATCCTCTTGGAGGAGGTAGCTACTCTATACTGAACCTTGTGGTTCTATCTGAGTAGTTTGGAATTTGATGAATCCTGGAGACCATTAAAGTTCAACTCCTTCATTTTTCTTGGTAAGGAAATGGATGATTAGAGATGAGAAGCAATTTGCCCAAGGTCACATAGCAAGTACCAGCAAAGTCAGTATTTGATCCAAGAGCATTGGAATTCTACTTTGGTTTTCCACGAGACAAGTGAGACGGGGGAGCCCTAAAACGTGGGGAAGAGAACCATAATAGCAGCTCTGGTCAGGCTTCCTTTCCCTCTGAGGAGACTCTGGTCAGCATGGGAACATGGTTGCTACCCTTGACTCTGATGTGAATCTGATTAGATTGGCTCATAAACCCCTTGGGACTCCAGCCCTGCCCTGGTATCTGCAAAGCAAGGGGTAGGACAATAAAAAGAGCTCTGAGCAAGAGAGTCCTCTGACCTGAAGTTCTAGCCCTGGCTCTGATGCTAACTTGCCCATGACCCTGGCCAGGTCACTTCCCCTTTTGGATCCTGTTTCCTCCTGTAATTTCCAGAACATGAGAGGCTTGCACTGGGCAGCCCAATACAACATCTACTGTGGGCCAGACAACAGCAAAAGACAAATAAAACATGGCCTCCACTTGCCCCGCCAGGGGCTTGCAGTATTGCAAGAGAGAGCTCTGCTGATACACCACGCTCAGTATGAAAATCCTCTGGGAAAGCACTACGGGGGGAGGCAGTGGCTTCTGATGCATGCCTGAGAAAGGGGTCTCAGAGGAGGTGTTAAGCCTTGAAGGTTGAGGATCGAAGCCAGCACAGACAGCACAGAGGTAAAGCAGCATCAAGCAGGAGGAAAGCCTATACATGAATGGGCCCTGGGACTTTGGAGCAGGGGACATAGCCCCCTGTGGCCAGGCTCAGGGGCAAAGCAAAAGGGAAGAGCAGCCAGGAGAACATAGAGACCTGGGCTTTATTCTGAGGACAATGGCCTCCCTGATGGCTTTTAAGCAGGAGTGTGACTGCCCAGTCACCCCAGCCCTTCCCAGCTGGGATGGTCTGTGGTTGCAGAAAAGCAGCATTAGAACCGAATCATCCAAAGCCAGGGTTCTGGAGCTGGGCTACCTGGGTTGCAATCTGAGCCACCCACCAGCTGTGTGACCTTGGGCAAGTTTCTGAATTCCTCTGAGACTATATACTGGGCATAATGGGAGTYGATGTGAAACAGAATAATGAAGCTCATAATACCGAAGTGAGGATTAAAAGAGACACTGTGCGTCAAATCTGGGCACTGTGCCTGGCTCACAGTGTGATGCTCATAAAATTACCTAGTGTTATCATTCTAACCTCAGACCAAGATCTGGGACCAGTTGGGAGGACGGCAGGCAGCAGACAGGCTTCAGAGACAGGCTTGGGAGAAGACAGCTGAGACAGAATAGAGGGTGAGACGAGGCTCTGTTCCTTGAGAGTGACAATAGCAAGACGGCAGAGCCCGGGAGCAAGACCGAGAAGACGGTCCACCCACAGCCAGACCAGCAGCCGGGGAGGGAGGAGAACCCAAGGGCATCTGGAAAGAGCTGAGCTTGTTGGAGAAAACGGTCTGCCTCTTTGAGGGAAAAGCTAAAATCCAATCCATTTGATCTCCGCTCKCCCAGGGTTGAGACCTTAAATCAGTCAATTAGCATAAAACCCAGCAGAGGGATCAGCCCAGGCAGGCCCTCCCCTTCTGTTCTCAGCTGGCTCAGGTCAAGGCCTCCAGCGGTACAGATGCTCAACCAGGCCTTCCTGCCTGGGCCCCAGGGCTGTGCCTGCGGATCTTCTTGAATGCCAGGCTCCAGAGGGGAAGGGGCATAACCCAGTCATTCCCAGTGCCCTAAGAACCCGTCTTAGGAGCTCAGTCTGCCTTTCACATCAGACTTGATTCAAATCTTTTGGGAAAAGATTGATCTTTTCAGCCTGTGCCACCCCACAGGGAAATGAATACTGGAAGTTTCTTCTTCAGTCAGCAGAGAATAAGGACTCTCATTGTACTTGTCCCCAAAGCATCCCCACAACAGCTGGCGGGGCCACAGCTTCTGACACACAGGTAGCCACCTCCTGCTTCCTCCTGGAGGAGGTCAATGACTTCTCTTACTTCTAATCCTGAAAGCAAATTTTTTGCCTCTAGAAAGAGTGATCGATCAGACTGGAGGACTGGTTCAGTCTTAGCTTGAGGGCTGGTTGGGTCCCTTACCAGCTGTGTGACCTAAGAGAAATCACTTAACTTCTTCTCAGAGGGTTGGGCTCTCTCATCCAAGAGGCCCAGGGGACATAATGCCTGGGGACCCCAGCTGCCATTTCCAAATCTTACTTTATCACTGTGAGAAACCCTCCYACCTTGCAAATTACCTGCACCTTTACTTTGTAGAATTCTCTTGGTGCCTTGGTGCTATRTGTGACAAACGAGGGCTTTGGTGGCAGAATTTAGGGAAATAAATTAAAGAATAAAACAACAAGACATACACAAATAAATGTCATTATTTCCCAAAGGTCCATGTTGTCCCAACTCCTAAAGGGGCTCAAAGACCCGGGCAGGATAGCTTACAGGAGAGATGAGTGTTTCAAAAGACCCGGAGCCTGAGACCTAAGAAACCATGAAACAGGATCAGAGGGTGTGTGGGGGAACTAAAAGGGTCACTTTGTATTCAAATGACACAGATGGCCTTTTCAACAATAAATGGTTGTGCTCCCATGCTCCCAGCTCCTGGGCCCAAGACACCAAACCAAGACAATTGGCCCATCAGGAAAGAGGCCATTGTGTGCTTCTTAGCGTGATTTATGTGGTGGGGAGGGGCCGGCCACGTTTCCCGTGATTATGACTCTCAGATGTGATTTGGATAGCTGTGCACCATCTTGAACGGCTGGGATGGACTGGGATGCTGAAGAGCGGTGGCCACCAGGTCATATTTCATCTTCTGGAGCCCATGGAGCCAAATTAATTGTTGCATCGATTCACAAGGCAGAGCAGCAATGGCACTGTGGCTCACCGCAGTCGCTGGGCAGCCCAGGCCCACCAGCAGCACAGGTCCGYTTCCCCGCCCTGGACCCGGATGGGAGCATGCTCCGCCTATGAGCTCATCAGGACAAGCTGGAAGGCAAGCCTCGGCCGGGGGCTGGGTACTGTGTTCAGAGTCTCCATTTCTCTGTGGTCAGAGCTCCTGTCCTCTGCACCTGTCTGCTGGACAGAGCTGGGTCACCAGGCCCAGRGGAGACAAGCCTGCTGCCTTCCCAGACAGGCGATTCTCTCGTGCCTCCCATTCCTCTTAATGTCATTTTGTGAGGGAATCAAATGAAATCAAAGTGCAGCTTGCTGTCTGTGCAGACCCAGCTGCTCCCTGCTCCATTCGCCCTGCGGGCCGAGCCCTGGCTGGCAGAGGTGCTGAGTATCCCAGTCCAGGCAGCRTCTGTCTCCCTCCTGGGCAGGGGCATTAGCTTGGTCACCAGCAGATCTATCCCACCCCCCAGTAGGCTGCTGATTCAGCACGTCTGCTCTTCCTTACACTGGGAAGAGGGTACATGGAAGGTAAGGGGCATATCCTCTTCTAAGCTACCAATCTGGGGATTCAGGTGGCCACAGCAGCTGTGCAAACTCACAAGGGCACTGGAACCTTCTCTAAAGACACTGACAACACAGAGAGTATCCAAGGGCAGGGGCTTCTCTGGCCAGAGCCATATCTCCAGCCTCTCGGTTCCCTTTTCCTTCACAAATGATGCTGGTCTTACACGTACCCTTTTGTACAGGAGTGTTGTCCCTCAGACCTGTGACCTTGGCATAGGAAGGGGTATGAGAGCTGCCTCACCCTGAGCTCCAGCAGGGGCTGTGGCAGGCAGCCCCCAGGATGGGCTCCCATCATTGCCCCTCAGTGAGTCTTCTAGGACAGTCTATGAGAGTCCCTGAGCCACACCCAGCCTGTAGTCCCTGACCCTTAGGAGCTCTACAGAAAGCAAACCAAGCATGTCCAGAGCTGGGTTCCAGTTTCCCATGAGACCACTCAGCATAGGATGGAGGGGCTGCACGGGCAATCCCTGCCAAGGTCTGGGGGCTTTGAACCTTCCCACCTTGGCCAGGCTGAGCATCACTGGTCCCACCTCCAGGAACGCTCAAGAATTCAGCCCAGGCCTGGCCAGCAGGCAGCTTTCTGAGGAAGGTTCCAAACCTGGCTCACACCACTGAGAAAACAAGATGTGCTGGAAGATAAGGGCGGGTGGTGGGCAGGGGCGGGGGGCAGGGAACCATCTCTTCTCATCCTAGAACCTGGCATTCACATGCCCACCCCACCACCCCAGTCACCCTCCAGGACAAACCATCGTCCCTCACCCAGAGGACTGAAGGGACCCCTAACTGACCTCATACGTCCTCTTGGGCCCCACTATCCACAATCTGACCTTGTAGAAATGTACCTGAGGCTCTGACTCCCTTCCTCAAAAGCCCTCCATGGCTCCCACTGTATCTAGAATGAAATCGACAAAACACTGCCTAAGTCCTGCCCAGGCTGGCCCTCACCACTAGGGGCAGCACTCCACGCTCCCACGGTAGGAGTCCTCCACAAGCTGCGCCTTCGGCCTGGACCATGCTCTCAGACCTTGGCTGGCTTATTCCTTTGCCCTCCACTTTCCTGTCCCTGCAGAGCCATCTGGACACAACGCCCTCTAGAGGCATTCGTTAGCTTCCTGCACAGACTCTCCCAGCTGTGAGCTCCTGTTGGCGGTGATTTATTTAAGGTTCCTTCCCTGCTAGGACTAGAATCTGGATAAGAGAAGTGGCCACATCCACCTGGTTCTCCATAGTACCCCCCAAGCTCCTAGCACAGAGCCTGGCACAGAGGAGATGTCCCCAGATATCCAATGAATGAACACAGGAATGTGTCCAGATGAAAACGAGTGACTGGGTAGAGGCACCTTCTGGCCGCAGAGGGTCCACCTTGTCCACCAGGGCGACCTCGGCGCAGGTGCCCGGATGCCGTTTAGTCTCCTTCTCCTTGGAGGGAATGAGCTTCCGAGTCTTCTCCATCTGGGCCTCCTGCCACTGGTCTGCACATGCGCCGGGGGCCTCTGGCGCCACTGCTCCTGTTGCCAGTCCACACATACCCTCGGGACTGCTCCCTTCAGATGACCCTAGGCCCACCATCTTGGTCCTCTGTTTTGGGTCCAGTTGAGGTGAGGTTACTGTGTGGTAGGGGACGCCCCAGAAAGGGTTAAGTTGCCAGAAGCAGAGTCCCGCCCTTGGGCTTGCTCAGCCAATCAGAGTCTGTCCTGATGAGGTAAAGCTTCTATCCTGGGTAGCATTGGTGGAGTTGGCTGGCCCCATCTCCTGCTGGAGAGAGCCGTAAGGGTGGAGTTTCTGTGGAACCAGACAGAACTGGAATTAGCTCACTGTCTACTCTCAGGCCAGGCCTGCCTGGCTCCACAACCTGCCTCTGGTCCTTTCTAAGGCATTCAGACAGTCCCCAGCATCTCCAAGGCCCATCTCGGGCTGCCCCAGAGGAGACGACAAGGTAGCACACACCTCAGCATCYCATCTGGGAGAAGGCTGGCAGCCGGAGCGGACCCAGGAGGCCTCGGTTTCCCCGCCTGGGTCCTGAAATCCAGGAGGTGGCCACCAGGAGGTGGCATGGAGCAGTCCTCACAGAGCACCAGCATCGACTTCAAGAAACGAGGACCCCAAAGGAACCTTCCTAATCAGACATCATTGACAAACCACGGCGAGAACGACCACAGGCGCCAGTTCACAGAGATCTTCTCCCAGGCCACTTGGCCAAGCACAATACCAGTGTGATCCTCAGAAGGGCCCTGTTAACCCATCCACTTCACTGATGAAAAACTGAGTCTCAGAGAGGCTCCGTGGCCCGCCTGAGGTCATGTCACCACTATGTTATTTTGAAGTATCTGCTGCCTTATCTGTCTCTGCCATTAGACTGTGATCTGCCAAGGACAGAGTGTGACAAATTCCTCTGTGTAGTTCCCAACATGGAGAGCAAGGCCAGTCTGTGCTGCCCTGCACCTTCTCCCTGGTCAGCCCCAGGACTGAGGCAAGACTACTGTGCTCAGAAGGTTCCAGAGGCCAAGCCTAGCACCATGCAGATGGGAATGCTCCAAGAGGATTCCCTGCAAGGATCATGAAGACATAGCCACAGCCCCTGGGACCACTCTTAGACCTGCAGGCAGGGCCTTAGTGCCCAGATCACCACTCGGATGCCCTTGCCACCTCTCCCCAATCAGAAGAACTCCATAAGGACAGGGACCAGGTCTTGTTCATCTCTGTGATCCCAAAGGACCTAAACCAGCGTCAAGCACAGAGAACACATCCGTTATGTATGTTTGATTGACTAGCTCAAATAACCCACCGCTGCCTCTCCCCACCAGCCCGGAACCTCGCTGGCCGCAGCGGGGACCAGCTCCGTGTTGCTCTAGATGAGAAGCGTCACAGCAGTGCTGGGGGAGCGCGTGGAGAACTCAGTGTGAGTTGTGCAGACGGAAGAAAGCTGGAGGCCCTCCAGGGACAGGTAATGAGGCAAGAGAGGGGCAGAGTTCCCCAGAGGAAGGAGGTTGTAAAGCAAGAAAAAAAAAAGCTGGGACAGGAGAAGAGCCACTCCACGGGTGGTTGTCAACAAAGAGCAAGCAGGAGAAAGGAAACGGAGTCCCCAGACAAGGGATGCCAAACAGCCAGCTGCTGCCGGTCTCGTTGGTCCATCCTGCCGTATGGGACCCTGCACTGTCAGGCCACAGGCACCTTAGACATGGCCTAGAGAGCCGGTATCTGCCCTTCCACCCGCAAGAGGAGATCAGGTCTGGCCTCTGAGACAGTAGGTTTCATGAGAACTGGGCCAGAAGCCGGAAGCAGAAAYCTTCAGGAGACTGGATGGCCCCAGRCCCTCGGCTTTCACGATCATCACCTAGCTGGAAGTGCCCCAAAGCCACCTGACCAGTACAGAGGGGACTGGCTGAGGCCATGGCGGGCAGTAGTTGATGAAGGTCACACAGCATGGGTCTCTCCTGTTCTTTGAGTCCCTCTTCCTCCCTTTCCCCATCCTTCCCAGCAAGCGTCTAGGTCATTTTCAGGGCAAATCACACTTATTTCAGTTGGTGAACTGGAGAAGAAAGACCTTCGCCATCCTTGAATGGCTGAAGAGTTCCCTATCCCAAGGGGCCAGGGACTCGGGGCTGGGAAGGGGCAGCGGGTTCTAGGCAGTTGCCTCACAAACCTCTCTTTCCCCAAGAGGCATCTGGATGGGGCGGGGTGCTTGGCAGCGGGAGGTGGAGCCCCCCTAGAGAACACAGAGGAGTGGAAGGACAGCCTGGGCCGACTCCAGGGGTCGGGCAAGCAGGACCTTGGTGCCGCAGCCCAGCCCTTGGGAAGGAGGTTTACGGTCCCCCTGAGACAGGGCAAATATATGGTAGGGTGGGCCGGCTGGCAGCCACCTGGGCCTGTCACCAAGGTCACTAAACCCTTCCTGGACTTATTTCAGCTGGAGAGAATTGTATTTATTGGAACTTCTCTTGGGAAGCCTCTGTAAGTGGCCAAAAGGAGTAAGTTGCTAAGGCTCTGAGTATGGTAGAGGCGGGTGGGGAATGTTGAACCCAGAGACGTCGGGGCCACCTCACTAGAGTGGCTCCATAAACTGCCTTGTACGAAGGGTGGGCTGGGGGAGGGTCAAGCCTGGGGCGGGGCCCGTCTCAGGCCCAGCAGGCAGTCCCAGAAACTGGGTGCCTCCTCCACCTTCTCCTGCCGGCTTCTCCACTAACCACTTGTACAAAGGGCTGATGGGGCAAGGTGGTCAAACTGCTGCTTACTCGAGAGGCCYATAGATCTTGCTGGGTCCCTGAGGCCAGGCCAGGTTGAGCCACCTGTCAGGGTCAGCAGCTGTCTCAGACACAGTCAGCCTCCGGGTGCTTGTGACCCCACAGATCTCGAGAGGCTATTACCAACATGCTCCAGAGGCAGCCAACTCTGAGGCTGAGACTCACAGACCTGTTCCCCCACAAGAGAGGAACTAAGCCCAAAGAAAAGAAAGCAGGGGACCATTCAGACATTCAGCACCCCCAGGGCTGCCCCAGTGAAGGAGGCTCAGCCTGGACTCTGACTGTGGCCAACCCCGGATCAGTGGGGCAAGACCAGCCTGTAGCCCCAGACAGGTCTCTCCCCAGAAAAGGAGCCTGACAGTGAGACCAGCCGGTGCTACCTGGGAGAGGGCAATGCAGTAGAGTGACTAGCCCAGGGTCACACCGCCGGTCAGTGGTGGAGTGGGACTTGGGAGGCCCATGTCTTCCCACTACCCTGGTCAATGTGAAACACATCAACTCTCAAGTCCAAGATGATGAAACTCTCAGATTCTCAGTTCCTTTGGGAACAGCTGGGGATTGTCTGTCCACCAGTGACAGGAAAGGCTGCCAGACACCTCTCCCACCTCCTGCTCACAGCCTCCTCCAAGAGCCTGGGTGCGAGGCCCCCGCAGGCCTGAACACTCCCAGAAGCAACAAGGCCAGCGGGTTAACAGGCTGCAGCTCCCTCTCATTTCTCCTCTTCCCCCAAACCCAAAAGCACCCTCCTCAGCAACTCTCATGGCCAACCACACCAAGTTCCAAACGGCCAGCATGTTTAGTAAGAGAAGGGATCTGAAAACCTTACAAATGAGGGCGTAAAACTGTGCCTTATGGAGGCATCCAGGTGTCAAAGGGCCAACACTCGTCGTGGTCCATCCCCAAGCCCTTGGCAGTTTCCACTGGCACTCTCCAATTTTCCCTAGCTGGCCAGTCCCCAGCCCCCCGCAGTCCAAATCCAGCTCCACTTGGCTCTGGCCTGCATCGAACTATGATAGGTCCTGCCACAAACACGTCTGCCTTGGGCCAGTGCTAAACACCAGTGCGCTGCCCCCAGGCAYGGCCTACCAACGGCAGAGGGGCCGCCTGCCTGGCAGCAGCAGGGAAGCCAGGCCAAATTAAACCTTGCCCCAGGCGAACCCAACAGCGGAGCCGAGGACTGATGGATCACACTCAGTTTGGCTCCTCGGCTCTTCCCGAGCGATGTCACGCTCACTCGACAGACCCGAAGAAAAGCCCAAGGGGCAGACCTTCCTGCTCAGGCAGCCTGCCAAGAGCTCGGTGCCCAGATCCAAGTGCCAAGCCCAGGCTGGCCCCCAGCTCAAGGCGGAGGCTCGAGGACCAGGCTGGCAGAGGGGAAGCGAGGCAGCCTGGGCCKCGGCGGCTGGCGAGGCCCTTACCTTCCTCCCCGGGGGCGGCGCTGCCAGCTGTTGCTGCTTGGCGATGTTCTCCGACAGGCACCAGCACACTCTCTTCTTCTGCTCCTGCGAGTGCGCCTCCAAAGTGAATAAGCACTCTGCCTTCTGACGTCAGGGAAAACAGAGAGAGGGATGGTCAGGGCTGCTCCCTGGGTAGAGGGGCTCCCAGGCCCCAGCCCATCTCTGGGCTCCAGAGGGCGAGGCCGCAACGGGGAAGGGAGCGTCCGCTAAGAGCCACAAATGCACACTAATCCCAGGTGACATCAAGGCAGCCAGAGGAGCAGGGAAACAGTTCTGGGACCAGCTGGGGAGCTCTGGGCTGGATGGTGTTGGGGGAGGGGAGGGAGGCAGTGGCTCCCAACACAGTAAAGGCCTGTGGAGAGCTGTGGGACAGGGACCAGGGACGGTGAGGTCACCCCCGGGGCAGGCAGCACAAGGCTGCAGCTGGGGAGCACTCGGGGAATCCAGAGGGACGAGGTCTCAGGCTGACGCTGTCTGGAGCCAGGGCCTCTCTGCATCCCCCACTCAGCACACTCCTCTATCACAAGGTCAAGGTGAGATGGATGGATGTTGGATGGATGCTGAGCAGAACCAACCCAAGGAGCAACTCAAGTCCCTTTGAAAAGTGCCAGGTGGGCAGTGATGCTCCTCTGCAGCCCACCATGGCCTGGCATGTGAGCTGGGACTCTTCCCTGACTGTTGAGCCCCACTGAGGGTAGGGTCACCTTGGGCACAGCTGTCATTTAAATAAAATCCTTCTAGGAAGGCCCTTTTCACCCAGCCCAGCCCTGTGCATGGAAGTACTGACTTCAGCAAGCTCTGGCTGTGAGGAGGAACTTTCAGGAAGAGGTCAAACCCAGGCCAGCTTTGGCACAGGCACAGGGACACTGGCCCCTGAAGCATTCAAATCATGAAAGGGGTGCGGTGGAGCCAGGAGCCCAGGGTTACCACCCGCCACCAACCAGGCAGGTGTTCTGATCAGGGCAGGAAAGTGCTGACACCACCAGAATTTGGTTGTAACCTCAAAATGCTCTGATGACGTGACCTCAGCCCAGGAAGCTGGGGAATGAGCTGGAGGGAAGAGAGAAGCAGGCTGTGTTTCCACCTGGTCCTTCCTCATGGGATTTGAATTCTGCCTTTGACACTTCCTAGCTACCACCCTCAGGAAAAGCAGGAGTTTTCTGTAACATAGGACTGATAATGATGTCACCTACATCCATTCCCAGGCTATTAGGAGACCAAGCTCACAAGGATGATCTCAGGTCTCCTCATGCAAAAGCTATTGTTATTATTTAATAATTTATTCATTTAGTAAGTGTTTATGGAGCACCTAATATGTATCAGGGTCTCTGCTAAGCATTGGTAATAAAGATGCAAATAAGATTGACTAAGTCCTTGTCCTCAGGTTAGGAGGTAAGGGMGATAAATCATTAAATAAATGATATAATTTAAAATGGTGAAAATGTCACAAAGGTCATACTTGAGCTGGGTGGTCAGAGAAGGCTTCTAAGAAAGGCTGAACTTGAGCTGAGGCCTGATGGTTAAGAAGGAGACAGCAAGAAAAGTGTTTGAGAAGTTCTTCTGGGCAAAAGGGACAGAAAATACAAAGGCCCCGTGCTGGGGGTGTTCACTGGTATTTTCTTCTTCTTTTCTAAATTTTTTTAGTTGTTGATAGACTTTTATTATTTATTTATTTATATGAGGTGCTGAGTGCGCGCTACCGCTGAGCCCCAGCCCCAGCCCTCATTGGTATCTTCTAATAGCACATTTGGGATTTTTTTTCCTTTGCCCTACATCAAATCCAACCCACAGGATACCATCCTTCAGGGTGGGACCACCTCCCACCCTGTCCCCAGGGTGCCAGCCGTTCCTCTGCCACAGACAAGTACTCAGAAGCCGATCTTCCTAAAAGCACCGAGAAGAGAGGGGAAGAGCCTGCTGGCTGACCTCAGAAAGGCCACTCTAACCCTCCACCTCTCACTTAACCAAGGTGCCCTCTCTGCCCACTGCAGGGGAAGGTGCAGGACCCACCCAGAAAAAGAGCGAGATTCCCCAGGAGGAAGCCCCTGGAGCAGGCGCTGACCAGAGAGGCTCAGTCTCTTTCAAATTGGAAAAAAACCCCACCACTTCAGAAAGCTGGCCCCGGCCTGATCCTTCCTGCCCTGCAAATTCCTTCATCTCCCACAGTCTTAATGTCCTCTTTCTGTTCTGAAGCAGGAATTCGGCCTTAATAATAATTCCTTTTATCTGATTATCAATTTTAAAAAGCACTTTGCCATCCATGATCTTGTTTTGATCTTGGCAATTTCATGGAAGCGGAAAACTAAGCCTCAGAGTAGCTTAAGGGTCTCGCTGAGTCTTGTGGCCAATGAATCTCAGAGAGAAGACCCCAAGCCTTACAGAATTATTTGCGGAGGTTTCATCTCCAGAACCTGGGGAGGCCTCACCGCCTGGCCAAGTGCCCTTGTCTGGCAGGACTGCTCTCTCTTGCAGACAAAGCCAGAAGCAGCCACAGCACCAGGCCATCAGAAGAAACTATGGGCCAATGGGTCCCCCAGCAGCATGGGAGTTCACTGGGAGCTTTTGTACCACTATCTGCTGCTCCACGCTCCAGCAGGGCAAACCCTTCCCTGCAAAAGTATGAGAAAACTTCCCTAGGTTGGAAGGACCCCTCAGAGAGACAGGGCTACCTCCCTAATGTCTGAGACAGCTTCCTCCCACCCCCCAGCCCCCACAGGACTAAGCACCTTCCCGGAGGTGCCTCAATATTTCTTCCAATAATCGTGTAAGGTAGCAGCTGTGATCATTCACTGACACCACAAGAACCACCCCTTTGGGAAGCCATGTTGCTCCACTTGGAATGGAAACCCGATCATTTGTAATGATTAAATGGGATGCTAAAAGATTCTGCTGCCAAAGCACTTAGCCCAGCGCCTCCTGCGGAATGTCACTTGGAAAGCCATGTTTCCCTACCTGGCATGGCCACCATAGTGCCTGTGTCAGCAGCAGAGCATAGGGCTGGAACCCTCCAAAACGCTAGAGGACCCAGAAGGCTTCCTAGGTACCTCGACAAACCCAGGCCTGGCCCGGGACAGGGGCTGGCTGTCTTAGATGGGAAAACATTTTGAGGAGCTCAATCTTGGCAGACTGGCCTGGCCAAGCGGAAGAGCCACACTCCAGCCCCCTCCAGGGAAGCTGAATCTCCGTCTCCCTCAATCTGCCTAAAGTGGGGGCCCTCACTGCCAGTCTGTCTGCCCACACACGTGAACCATCTCTCAGACCAGTGTGTGCTCCAAGTGCCCCAACTTGTGGGTTTCATGCTGACTTGAACTTTGCCCTCAATACCAGGCTCCAGGGTCAAGGCCGCCGTGAGCCATGCAAAAGGCATCCTCACATAATTCACATAACCCCCCAGGGTGGTCAACCATGCACAGACCGCTCAACAGTACAAGCCCTGAGCAAATGGCACCGGGCCCAGACCCCTGCTCTTAAACATGGCCATCCTCAAATCTAAACAGACAACCCAGCTCTTCCTGGCTTCTCTGAAACCCCCATCTTGCCTCACCTCCTTGCTCCTGGATTAATTTTACTTTGATAAAAACCAAAACCTTTTCATCTATGGCTGAAGTTTGTTCGCTTGCTTTGGCGAGCATGTTCTCACTGTTGAGTTCTCCTGACAAGTGCGTGGTGTGGGGAGGAAGGAAAGTCACAGCTGTTCCCATTCTCCAGATGAGAACACTGAGGCTCACAGGGATTAAGTCCGTCTCAAGCCTCCTCCCGAGCCTGTGATCTGTTGGGCTTGTATCGCTGTGTAAGCGCATCACAGAAAATGTGAGTTTTCTTTTTAAAAGATCAATAAATCATTTGTTGTCTCGCTAATGGAGGGTAAATGAATATGAAAAGCACTTCCTCTTGCTGTGAATCTGACAATAATAGTAGCTGCCACTCATTGGGCACTCTGTGCCAGGCTCTGTGCTAAGTGCTTTGGATGCACTGTTTCATTGAATCTCATTTAATCATTACAACCCTGCAAAGTAGGCCTCCTTGCCTTGGGTCACAGAGGAGTATATAACTTGCCCAGGAAAAGGCGAAGCCAAGATTCGAATCTAAGTCCTCCTTAGTCCAAAGTGAGGGAATGGTCCCTAGCCTACATGATCATCCACCCAATGCCCCCTGTGCTCCCATGCCCGTCCTGGGCTGCATCTGACCCATGGATTAGCAGGGGCTGAGGGACACCTGTCCAGGGGACTAGACCCAGGACTAAGGACTGCTTAGGGTGACCTTCCTCTGGACTTGGAGCTGGGGAACAATCAGAAAGCTGCTACCACACAGGCTGTGGGGTCCTCTAGTGCAGAATGGAAACACCTCTCCAAACCTTGACTCATCCCCCTGGTTTCTGCTCAGGGTGCCACTTGCCCATCAGACAATGAAGAGAAGTCACTTGGTGGAAGTTCCAACTAAGACGCGAGTTTGGGGCCCTCCACGGAACCCAAAGCAGCCCTGTGGAGACTGTGCCAGCTATAGAGCAAGCAGGCGTCTGTTCTCCCTTGCATTAGACTTGCCTCTCATAAATAGCAACCCATTAGGAGAAGAGAGACTTCCAGCTGCTTGCGAGCTGCAATCTCCCAGCCCCCTGGGGTCAGATCACCTGGCACTTCACTGAAATAAAAGGCCCCAAATCAATATCCCTTCTTCACTCTTTGGRGGGCTAGGACACCACAGATCCAATGGAGCAAAAGTGCTTTTCTCTGGGAAAAACAAACCCAGCCTGGCAGGAAGCTCTCTTGGTATTAAATTAAAGGTCCTGGAGCCGCTGGAGAGAATCAGAATCCAGAATGACAGCGCTAGGGGACCAGCCTGGATCATGGCTTCTCCTGTCTGCACCCTGTGYGCTTGGCTCTGTAGAACTGGACACCCTCCGGGCACTGAAGCTATTCCCTGTGTCCCAGTGGGGATGTGGCTGACCCAGAGGAGGACATCCAATGCCCTTGGGTCTGTATTCTGGGCCACTGAGTCCCCAGGTCCTTCTTGGGAGTCCCCAATTCCTTCTCAGAAGGGTATATTCCTCTTGGACAGCCGATAGACCATGTCCCACCCCCAGGGCTGAACAGTGTGGACTCTCCCACCAGTGTAGACAGGTTCCCAGGACTATTGGGTGAGGCAGACTTAAGGGGAGGCAGAGGGCAGGGGTGAGCCTAATGAATCCTTCCTTAGAAATGACGCCACCCTGCCCACACATTGGCAGAGATATAAGATTGAGAATAGAAAATTCACTGAAAATGAAAAGAACTTGTGTGGCTCAGTGGCTCTCAACATTTTCATCACCAAGGACCTCTTTGGTTAACCCCCAGGTTTCACGATATTTTTTTCTGCCAAGTCGTATCAAGCAATAAGTTGTTTGCCTAATTTTGCTCTGCATCCAAAGCACCTAGCACAGAGCCTGGCACAGAGTGCCCAGTGAGTGTTTTTCTGGAGCCTCCTCCCTCCTGTTCGAGGATCCCAAAATCAAGCATGTAAGCATGAGATAACCAGGAGAGTCCACCTCTCTGAGCGGGGATCGGTCCAGCCCAAACACACACACTTCGTGTTTGCTTTAGCCTGCGTTATCTGGCCCAGGGAATGGTATGATCACCTTTGGGGCCTTTGGGGCCTTTGGAAACACTGATGAGACCCTGTAGGAGTGGAGTGTAGGTGTTACTTCCTGGAAAAAGACAACCAAAAAAGGCAGGTGCAGGAGTCAGGGCAATCTCTAGAGGAAGGGCTGCTAAATAAATAAACAGAGTGAAGTGCAGCTGTCGGGCTGCGCCCTCATTATGCGAGCTGAGCAGGAGATCTCAGGAGCTGTCCTGAGCGCCATCTTGTCCACTGCTCTTTCCCACAAAGCTAAGAGACGGGGACACTGACTGCCATTCTTGTTCAACAGAGCAAGAGGCAGCCCTTCTGGATTTGCCCTGGATCGTGCAAGAGCCTTGGGGAGGCCAACATCAGAACCCTCCTCCAGAACCCGGCCCCAGGTCTTCCCTCAAGCCCCAGATCGCAGATCACTGTCCTCAAGTTCAGAGAAAGGGACTCACCTCTGCTAGATACAGCACACAGAATTTCAAGTCTTCTGAAGAACCTTTGAAAGAACAAAAAGTAAGGCTGGTGTTAGCATTGGCTGAAGAGTCTCAGCTGGGACACAGCCCAGCTGTCCCAGCTGTCTCGCCCCAAAGGCTGCAGGTGCTGCTTTCTGGGAAAAGTGGGAGCAAGAGGAAGGCACAGGGTGCAGAGCCCACTAATTAGCCAACCAGGGTGATGCACGGTTGTAAGTCGCCCATAGGTCAGCGTGAAAGGCATCCCCAGGAGAGGCACCCCGAGCACCCTTTGGGCATCCAACAGGCAGACACACGGAGCTATCATAGATCCCAGGAGGCCTCCTCCTTCCCGAGATCCTGCTATGAGGGGCGTGCAGGCAGCACACACCTGGGTTTCCCTTTAAACACCCCAATTGCCTTGGCTATTCAGAAATTCAACAAGGGGCCATTTGGGACCTGGAGGCGAGGAGCTTGTTTCCCTCCAAGAAACACGGGGCCAAGGAAGGGCAATCCCCAGGCACGGGCTTTCTGAGCAGGTTTCCTGTGTGTTTTCCTGGAGCCTCCTCCCTTCTGCTCCAGGATCCCCAAATCGACCATTTACCAACCTCTGCGCCTGCAGAGCGCTGGGAGAAGCTGTCAATCATTCCCTTCTCCTCCAGCAGAAGAGCCAAGGCACAAGCCCAAGGACCCAGAGGTGACCCCCAGCTGTTGGCAAGGGYGTCCTGGAGGAGGACCTTTCTGAGCTAGAACTCAAGATGGGAAGGTGGGAACAGCCTGAGCAAGGGCGAGGACAGCGAGAAGCAGCAGCTGTGCCCAAGAGACAGCGAGTGCAGAGGAGAAGCTGCTGCCTCCTCCAGGACACCTGCGCTGGCCACCGGGCCACCCCTTAGGCCCTGGCAGCACTTCCCATTGGGACACTTGTCTGAACACAGGGTGGGGATGGGTGGAAACTCCCTGCACTTTAAGCAATCCACCTCAGCAGCAGCCTGTCACTTTCGAGGACGCAACCATACAGCAACGCTGAAAGCCCCAGAGATCTCTGGAGTGCGACAGTGCCGTGGTCCAAATGTTGCTTCAAGTGCTTTCCATGTATCAGCTCAAGAGCTGCGGGGTAGCTCAGCGGCAGAGTGCTTGCCCGCCATGTATCAGCCTACCCCACCAGGACCCCCAAGAGGGGGAGCCAGGGGTCTACTCGGCAGCCTGGTCCACAGCCCACCTCTCAAGGCCTACCTCGCAAACACTGGGCACAAAGCACACTCCGCGCAACACATACTTGAAGCAAAGAAATTGTCAAAGAACCAAAACTTGTCACAAAGAAAAGGCAGCAAGGTAAAAACAGAAATGGTGGGTCAAGCCGACGCCCTAGTAAAGCAGAGAGTGGGGCGCTGGTGGGTGAAGGCCAGGTCCCCTCCAAGCAGGAACACAGGCAGTTCTCTGGGCCCAAATCTCCTGAGGGCCAGAGCCAGACAAAAACAGCCCCGAAGTAAGTGGGGGTCTACTTTGGGCTAGGAATAAATCTCCCTAATTTCCCCACTGGGGACGGGCTGGGGAGGGAGGCCGTCCTGCCTAAGAAATCATCACGTTGAAGGAAACTAACTCCAAAGCTTCTGCTGGTTCTTTGTGCTGTGGGGGGTGTGAAGACAAAAACACTTGACTTTCCAGAAGCAGACCTTAGTGCAGAGGCAGAGCCAAAGAGACCCATGGAGGAAGAATGATAGAAATTCGGGTTTTAGAAGCTGGCAGTGAGGACGGAAGGCTCTGCGAGGAAGAGGAGCGCCCAGGACATGAAATCCTCCAGGAGGCAGGAGCGAGGCTGGGGGTCCCCCGTGGAGTCTGCTGTGAAGCCAGCTCCTGCTGCCCGGACCTCCCCGCATCGCTGCAAACTTCYGCTGGAATCTGCTCCGCGTCCCAGCCGGGTGCTGGCAGCACTGGGACAGAGGATGGAATGGGGGCAGCACTCAGCATGAGTCAGAGCCTCATGAAAGAACTACAAACCAAGGGAGCTTAGGGGGCTATTGCGGCCACAGAAAAGCAGGGGCAAGGGGGCTGACCCAAGAGAGCCTCAGGGCCATGGTTTGGGTCTGGAATGTCCTCAAAAGCCCATGTGGTGGCCAGGGTCCCCAAATCAGCAAGGTTCAGAGGGCAATGATTAGATCACTGGTGGGGACTCTGAACTTGTCATGGATGGATCCATTAATCCACTGACAGCTTAATGGACCACTGAGAGGTGGGACCTATTGGAGGGAGTGGGTCACTTGGAGGGTGTGCCCTGGAAGCACTGATCTCCCCCCAGCCCCTCCCCCTCTCTGCCTGGATGCCATCATCTGAGCAGCGCCCTTCCGCCCGCCATGCCCTACTGCCACCATGCTCACCTCGGGCCCAGAGCAATGGAGTCAGCTAACCACGGACAAAATCCTCTATAACCATGAGCCCAAATAAATCTTTCCTCCTCCTGGTTGTTCTTGCCAGGTATTTTAATCACAGCAACAAAATGTTAACACACTTCCCTCCTGGAACATTAAGACTGGCACTTGCCTCCCACAGGTGAGGCACTGAGTTTGATCCTCAGCACCACATCAAAACAAAAAAGACTGGGGCTTTTTGAACTACTGAGCGGTGGGACCTAGTTGGAGGAAGTAGGTCACATAAAAAGACTGGGGCTAGTGTGGAAAAGAGACTCTGAGGCAGCGTGTGCTGGGGTTTTCCTCGCAACATTCTAACTGCCTCCGCCATTTTGAAACTCAGTGGGGAGCCATTGACAGTTCCAGAGCGGGCCTCCCTTCCCAGGAAGGAATGCAGGGCCTTGCAGGGCAGATCTCTAAACATGAGCTAAATGGAGCCCAGAGGGGCCTTCCTGGCCCAGGTCTGACCCCTCTGTTATTTTCCCAGAGCCCTTTCATGCCTGGCCTAAAATTGCAACTCAACCATTCACCAAATCCTCTTCACCCTCCGAAGCAGGCCAGGAGGGCTGCAGTCTCCATACCCCAGGTACACAGACCGAGGCCCAGGGAGGGGAAACAACCTGTACCGGGCACAGTGCTTCAGTGGCAGAGCTGAGATTTGACCAGGCGTCCCACCCCCAAAGCCTGTGTTCCTGACAGCTGTGTCACACTTCTGCCCTGCCACAGGTCATTCCACCAGGCTGGGAGCTCCAGACAGGGACACGCCTCTTCCTCTGCTCTGGCGAGCACCAAGGTGAGCACCAAGGTGAGCCCTGAGGACAGGCCAGCAAATGTCAACTGAGATTTAACTCCGAGTACTCTAGCAGCTGGGACCAAAGCCACTGAGTTCCCCAGTGAGAACCTGGCTCCTCAAGGTGGCTAGAGAGCCCATGAGTCAGCCGGACATTTCCAGGCCACGTCTGAGAGACCAGGGCAGGCCAGGAAGATACACTGTGGGTGTGATGCTGGCCGCCTGGGAGGCAGAAACACAAAGAGGAGCAGAGCCAGCAGGCGGCAGAGGCAGGAAGAGACCACAATGGGCCCCGGCTGACCGGAGATGTCCCAATTGTTAGCTCCAGCCTTCTGCCTGTTCCCATTACACTGCCATTCAGGCCTCCTGATCTCGGGGAAAGCTGGGCAGGAGGAGGCAGGCAGGCAGGCTTGAAGAGACCACCAGCCGGGAGCCGAGGGGGAGGGGAGCCACCCCCAGCTCCCAAACTGCTGCGTACTTCTGGTCTCCTTTTAGTCGTGAAGTCTGTCCCCCAACAAGCATTTGTGCCCACCCATAATGCCCCATGCCCTGGCAAGGCCCTGGGAGTGTGCCTGGCCAGCAAAAGTGAGGGCTCCTCAGACAAGTCACAAGGGAGTCCTTGGTCCCTAGGGTGGGGTGGATTCTCCACAGACACAGCCTTTTCTGGCCCCAGCCTACAGGAAAGTTTGGATACACCCCTTCTTTACCATCTTCTCTGCCCCAAATGAATTCTGTGAATGTATTAATTTGAAAGAGACAACAAGAAGCTTAGGAGCTTCAGGTAGAGACCATTGTGCCCCCAGGGGCTGAGGCCGAGTGTGTCTCATGGCAGCCTCACAGGCTCCTGCTCCAGCACCGAGTCTCCTGGGCCCTGGGCAGGAGGGCAGGAAATCAGGTGCCAGGACTCAGAACAGCAGGTCCTACAGCTCCAACCCTGAGAGGAACAGAGGGGGCACTGGACCTCGGTGAACCTCTGGAGCCATCTCTGGGGGTGGCTGGGGGCACTCCAGGGCCCCCTGTGGCCCAGAAAGAAGTCTACACACCAGAGCACGCACCCTCGGTGCCCAGCAACATGGGGCCTTTCCTTCACCCTCAACCATTTCCCCAGGGGCTGCTCCAAACCGTGTCAGGCCTGAGGTCTGCCCAACAAATCCAGAGCAGGCACATCTTCTCCCATGCCAACCCTATGCCAGGCTCTGATGTCCCTGGTCATCTCTTCTGAGGCACACTGCCTTGGCCACCCTCACTCCTCAGCCCTCTGCAGGCAGAAGTGGTCTTTAGGTCAAGGAGGCCACGCCTGCACCAGACTGTGGCTGACACACAGCTCAGCATCTGGAGAGCTCCCCTGCCTCATGACCAGGCGCCCACCACCACCCTGACCACGTGACCCTGTGAGGGACGGAGCGCACCCTTCCTCTAACTTCAAGTTTTGGGTCTGGGGGATCCAGAGGGGAAAAAACTCCCAGTTCAGGCCCCCCAAGGGGTGGAGACAGGGCAGTCTGGGCACTGTCCAGCTTCTCCCAGCACCCACAGGGGTCCCAACAGAGGGTGTTAGGTCCTACCCAAAAGCCTGGCCCACCCCTTGCTTCACAGTCAGAGAAGCCCATCTCAGAAACGGGAGTGAGGCAGCCAAAGTCACAGAACATGAACAGCAAAGCCAGACCCCACCTCCAGCTACGCCCTCACTCCTCCATCCCTTCCTCCGCCCACCCTGACCTCCACCTAAAGCACAGCCAGTCGGAGCCCCCTTCTCTTCCCTCCCTCCCTGTATCTGGAAGCTGAGCAAACAGGGGTGCTGGGCTTGTGGCCCCAGAACTACAATAACACAGCAGAGTTGGGGTTTAGTTCTAGTCCCCCTCAGGGCATGTCTCTGAGCTCTGCCTGCCCAGGGCACCTCAGATTCGACTGGCCTGCGCGGTCTGCAGAGCGGGATGGCAGGGGCAGCAGAGCAGAGGGACGGTGCCCTAAGCCTGTAGGCAGGGTGTGCACCAGCGCAGGGAAGCCGGGTGCCAGGGAGCAGGGAGGAGCTGGTGGGCAGCAAGGAAGCCAAGGGCAGAGTCCACTGGCGGGCACAGGGGAGCACCCAGAAAGCTGGTGCCTGCGCTGAGGACGCCTCCTACCACTGGCCCTGGGTCRGGCTGAGCCAGCCTGCTCGGAGGGAGGGGCTGGCCCCAAGTGAAGTGACTTGCTTTTCTTTTCAGTGGCCACCCTGGTCAGTGAAAGCCGGAGAGGAAGAGTTGAAAGCCWTTTCCCACGGGGAGGGGAGAGTGGAATTTTGTCACGGGGACACAGCGGGCTTCCAAGGAGGAAGGCCAGCCGGGGCACCCAACACGCAGGATGGGTCCACGAGCAGTCAGGAAGTTTCCCTGGAGCAAAACCCACCCAAACAGAWTTCATTCTCTGGGTCACATTTTCCCCCTGTCGCCCGTGCTCAAACAGGTCTGTTGTTGTTTTCGTGATCCAGAAGAGGAAATCGGGCCCCTCTCAGCGCAGACCTCAGGCGCCAAACCAAACTGCTGGACACACACTCCCAGCTGGCTTCCCGTTCCCCGGCGGACCAGGGCACGTGGAAAGTTCTGGGTTAGAAATCCACCCCATGTTTCTGCATGCTGCGTTCACCAGCCCCAGCCACACGCACTCCCGCTGCCCCCAGCTCTGGCCAGGGCCATATGGCTGGCTGAGGAGGGGCCAGTAGTCACGGTCTGCAGCCAGGCACAGTGAGTGGGGTGGCAACAAGCATTTATCGGGCACCTGTTGTGGGCCAGGCACTTTGCATGAATGACCTAATTGGACCCAACAACCTTCTGAGATACTATTATTATCTTCATTTACACAAGAGGAAATAGGCTCAGAGAGGTTGAATAATCTCCCAAGGTCACACCAGCAAGGATGAGCAGAACCAAGATTTCAAGATGGGTCTGAGTCCAAAGCGCTTCCATTCCGTGGCCTCCCTGGAAGATCTCTAGAATAGAACCTCCCAGAGAAGCTCGAGGTCTACAGAAGGCTGGGACGGTCTAGAATGGAACAAGAGTATCTGAGAGGCTGCCAGCCCAGGGGCAGAGCCCGACCAGAGAGCACACTCAAATGACCCACAGCTGGCAGCCAGGTTCCCGAGGGGCTCCCAAACCAGGCTTCTGGCTGCCCAGGGCAGGGGCAACTCGTGCGTCCAGGCCCTGCCTACCTTCCTGCAGCGTCACGCTCTGGAGGTAGAGGGGATTCCTCAGGACACTGCAGCGACCAGGCTCGTCCTCCTTGGTGAAGAGCAGCAGATCCGAGTAGGCAAACAGCGTCACCTGCACCAGGAAACAACAGACAGAACCAGCTGCTCTGCTGTCCCCTGGACGTGGGCAGCCGCAACCTCCCTGGAGGTCTGTGCCACACATCCTCCTCGTCATCTCAGGTAGAACCAGGGGCGCTCCAGTGTGGCCCAGCCCATGAGGGACTCACTCTGCAGGGCACACAGCCCCCAGTTTTCTTGAGTCCCCTCCTTGAAGTAGGAAATAATGAGCAAGAAGAAAAACAGCCCTCACCCTCTACGGCCAGCAGCTTCTACCAGCTCCTCTCCAGCCAGGTGCCCCCAGACCCTCTCCTGGACTGGCCACGCCCACGCCTAGGAGCTCCAACCCTGAGCCTGCTCCTCCTCCACCTCTTGGCCCAATRGAATGAAGCATCATGTGGCCTGAAGTCATTTAGATACCTTGCAGGTAATTTTAACTGCATTGAGAAATCAGTTCAAGAAAAGCCAGTTACGTCCATTCCAATACAGACTTGTATAGAACTTTATCTCCCGTATGTTCTAGCCGATCCAAAAACAAAGGAAAAGGCTATTTTTAGATATTCTAGGTAAACTGACGGGCATGCTTGGCATACTTTTAAGCTAAAAAAAAAAAAAAAAAAAACCCAGTGGATCCTCTACAGCCTGGACTGCTCTTTGTTTTGGAAATCCTGCAGTGGCCTTTAGTTAAAAGCAATAAAATCCAATTTTAGATGTGCCCAAAAAACACAAAGTAGTATTCATTCTGGGACGTTCTTTTTKCGATGTCAAAAACCGACCCTGCCTCCCTTTCTGAAGTAAGAAAAGTCAGCTTGGAGCCTGCTGAGGACACACGAGCGTGCGCTGGATGGTGAGCCAAGTTTAAAAAGCCAGCGTGCTGACGCAGAGCCACAGGCCGTTAGAGATGACCCGCAACTCCACTTCTCAGATTCTTCCTACAGAAGTCAAGAACACACAAATAGGAACAGAGAAGGAAGTGCTCAGAGGCATTTCTGAAATTAAAAAAGAAAAAAAAAAAAGACAGAAAGAAAGAAAACATAAATGCCCATCAAGAGAGAATGGATAAAATAAATTACGCTGCTTTCAAATGKCACAATTTTATGCAACTATTAAAAGAACAAAGTAGAGCTATGTGGGCAGAAATAGAAATCTGTCTCTCATAAACTGAAACAGTGCCGTGTGCAAAAATACCTAGAATATAATGCAATTTTGTCAAACAAAACTATAAATCTCTCCATATGCATTTTTTGTGTGTCTGTGTGGTGCTGGGGACTGAACCCAGGGCCTTGTGCATGGGAGGCAAGCACTCTACCAACTGAGCTCTACCCCCAGCCCTCTCCATATGCATTCTTTAAATATCTAAGGTACTCCCGGCTCTCCTCACTCTGGAGAGTGGGGATTTGACTTTCTTCATTTCTGTTTAATTTGCATTATGTTACAGTGGGACTCTGTCCCTTCTGTAATTTAAAAGTATGCAGTACACATTTCAAGGCCCACTTGTGGCTTGAGCATTGCACCAACACCGAGATTGAGAGGATCAGGGCCACAGAGACAACAGGAAGATGTTCTTGAGCAGGGGGCCTCAGGGCTCCTGCTTCTCCAGTGGGACCCAGACTCCAGAACTCTGGGCTGGAAGGGATGATCATGGTGATCTTATCCAACTCCCTTCCCAGCACAGCCCTATCATAATACAGCCCAACAGAAGCCTCCATTTGTTGAATACTCTCTATGGATCATCACTTAAATAACGCTGTCACCCTTTACAGATAAAGACCCTACAGCTCAGAGAGGTTAAGTGACCTGTCTACAGCCACACAGCCAGAAACCACTACCCAGATCCAAAAGCTCTCACTATCCAGAGAGAGAGCAAATACGCCTACAACTGGCTTGTCCCTAGATACGCGAGAATCCAAACAGGGACCAAAGAGAGGCGCTAAGGAGACCCAAAATATAAGATAGTAAAGGGAAGGGAAGAAAATAATCAAGAGTTCAGAAGGATTCAAGGGGTTGGCTGTCTGGGGAGAGGAACACAAAGTCCAAGCAAAGGAAAGAGGATGCCACAGTAGCCGGAAACACGAGGCAAACACTCAGGCTCCCACAAAACATGTCCCCAAACCAGGGAAATCTGGCTGTCACCTCCAAACACACAGGGAGGTTGTCAGGGGCAGAGCTGGAGGATACAACCTGCCAGGAGCCTAGAAAATCCAACGTGGCCCAGGCCCAGAGAGGGCTGGACAGAGTGCACAGGGGAGGAGCCACAGGCAATGTGGGAAAAGCCCCCGGCCACTGCCCCAGCCCAGACTCCCAGAGCTGAGAGTATGGTCTAGACAGGAAGTGATTAAGGCATGAATGAAGAATTTCCCCAAAGGTCAGGTCAGGGAAAGGACAGAGCTGGCACACAGCTCGCCGTGGTGCAGAGGGCAAGAGTGCCAGGGGAGAGCCTCAGACCCCTCCCAGCTCTCGGGCATCGGCTGGCCTCCTCCAGTCCCAGGGCCCACAAGAGGGAGGCCTAGCTCCAGGGTCCAGTACCTGCGGCCTTCCCCCACTGGCCAGGGGTCCTCCAGGTGTCTGGCCCACACAGGCGCTGAGAACACATCTGTTTTCCCAAGGGTCAAGGGTTGAGGGATGGCTTAGGGAATCCTTCCAACCTGGAAGGCTGTCCTCCCAGGTGGCCCCAACCAAGCCTTCTCCTGGGAACCTGGCCTCAGGGCAGGATTTGCAGAAAAGACCTTGGTGACTTAGTTAATGGTAAACTCAGTGAGTCACTGTATAAAAAGAGGGTGTGTCTGTCTCCGTGGCCTCACATAATTCCTGCAGCCTCGCACAGGGCCTGGCCACGGAGCATCTGAACATCTAAATGAAGCAGTTCCAAACTGCACATGCAGCACATCCGTGACTTCTGGGGCAGAGGATGCATGGTGTGGAACTGGATCGTCACAGATCATCACCAACTTGAGCATGCCCGGAGAAGATAATGGGACAAAGAAGCAAACGGGGAACATTTCAGAAATAAAGAATTCTGCYGAAGGTAACAGAGAACTCCCTATAATTTAGACCTCTCCAGAAAACAAAACCACTGCTCAGAGAGGCTGCCTCTCTGCAGATTCAGAACTTCCAGGAAAACCATTAGCTGGAAAGTTACAGAGAAAAGTTAGGCACAGTGGTGGACACTAGGAGTCCCAGCAACTTGGGAGGCTAAGGCAGGAGGATCGTAAGATTTGAGGACAGACTGGGCAACTTAGCAAGGCCCTGTCTCGAAATTCCTTTAAAATATRAACGAGAAGGATTGGGGATTTAACTCAGTGGCAAAGCACCCCCGAGTTCAATTCCAGTACTACAAAAAAACTTCAGAAAAACAAATATCAGGGATGATCACTGAGAGCCCAACCAATACTAGATTCTGTGAAGTTATCCAAATCCCTCTGGAATTGGTTTCTATTTTTAGTCTGAGTAACATGATAGGGTACAACAATCCTCATATTTGGTTGCTATCATACTTCAAGAGAAAGGGATATATTTATTTTACTTGTCTTCAAATCACTTCCTTCAATCTTCAAGCAGAGGGGGGAGGGCATCTCTTGGTTCTAAGGTTCCAGAGATCCACGAGGCAAATATTTTTTGGATGAAGTGTAACTATGGCTGTGGCTTGGCTTGTGTTTCGTTGTTTTTAAACAAACATGTCAGGACAGTGTGGGATCATAAAAGGCATTTCTGAGCTGTACTCAGTTATACTAATGCTGGCTCCATTCCTCACCAGCCTGGAGACCCTCAGGCCCCAGTTAATCTCGCCAGAACCTCAGTTTCCTTGTCTGCAAAGTGGGGACAATCATGCCTCTCCAGGAGACATGCAAGAGCTAATCGGGAGCAAGTATATAAAATGCATGTGTGGTATAGGTATCCCCAAAGTGGGGATCCAGAAAGACCGTAAGCAAAACCAACCAGTGTTGGGGGATTAAGTGCGCGGTCTACCTAAGGAGCCCCCTTGGAAAAAAGCAATGCTGATTTGAACTTGAGGGTTCTGGTCCTCTTGTTGGAAAACAAAACGAAACAAAAAAAGGCGACCTCCTGCTCTAGGGACAATCACACAGAGTGCCCAGATGCTTAGGCTGAGAAGCTTAAGAGCCTGCCTCGAATACAGACCACCCTACCGTTCGGATGAGGGGGCGGAAGAAGAGAGGAGAGGTGACAAGAGACCCAGCCGCAGAGCTGGGGCTGCACACAGGCTCCTGCTCCAAGCTTAGCTTTCCACTGCCCCAAGCAGCCACTCGGCCCGGCAGAGCCAGCTCGGCAGTAAGCCCTCTGCCCTCGGCTCCTGGCCCCTGGGGACCCAAGCGTTTCTATTCCCAAGTAGTTTTCTGGGGCTGAGCTGGAACCTGGCCAGCTCTGGGGAGTGTGGGGGTCAGAAAAGAGCTCCCAGTTGGAGAAGCAGGGGCCAACTCCTGGGAGGAATGGCTTGGCCTGCACCCTGACCCCTGCTGGCAGAGCTGGCGCTCGGGAGAAATCAGACTCATCTCAGAAGAGGATCTGGGATTTGGGTTAATACAGACTCAGAAAATTCGAGCAATTGATGCGCCTCCAGAAATTCTCTTTGGCTAACAGCTTGAATCTTCTCACCGACAAAGCCACTCTTCACAGCTGGGACACACTGCCAGCTCTTCTCCTTAGAGGAAGCTGGGATAGGGAATGGGGTGTCTTTAGGGGCTGGGGGGATGTCTAACCATCAAAGATGCCCTAACAGCTTTGAGAGGACTGAGCTGCCCGTCACTGGCAGCGTGCAGGAAAAGGCTGGTTGGCAATTCGGTCAAGAGAACAGGGGGCACAAGGGGGTGTTAGAAGGGTTGTTAGGTTGTATGATTCCAAGACCATCTGGAGGAGAGAAAAGTGCAGGGTACAGAGGATGGCAAGGACGGCCTGCAGGGAACGCGTGTCACCTTACCTGGGTAGCCTTGTTCCTCCCCTCGTACAGCAGCAGCTCCTCCGACAACAGGAGGGTCCGGGCAGGGTTGCAGAGATCTAGAGGCTGAAACAAGGCAGGGCTCGAGTGAGCAGGCAGTGCAGAGGCCCGGGGCGCGGCAGTTTGCCAAAACCAGCCTCAGGGAGAAGACTGCGCCCGCCCCCTCGCAAGAACCCACACGCCCCCACCACCCAAGGGACGGAAACAGAAAGACAGATGAGCCTGTCCTGTGTGGAACGGTGGCTGTCACCTTCTCCACCAGCCCTCACGGTGACGGCTGTGCTCTAACAGGAAGTCCAACCACACACTTGGTCAAGCAGAGGGGGAGGGCACCTCTTGGTTCCAGCTGTCTGCCCCCTGCTCTGAGCTCCTGGGCCCTGGCAGCCCCCACACCCCGGCTCTGACCTGCTCTCATCTCCCAGGAAGCTCTTTGCTGTCCAGCCCGGGAGGCATCCTGAGAGCCACACCTGAGAGATCTGGCCACTCGAGTCCCTTCGAGGCCTATCCCTGCTGTGCATTCATGACACACTGCCACCCACTGCCTCCTCCTTGGCCATCAGGTCTCCAGGAACAATTCCCACCCAAACTGCTCACCCCAATGTCCTGTCCCCACGCAGCTCAGAGAGAGCTCCCCATGCCCGAGGTTCCAGCAGGACGTGACCTGGTGAATGTGCATCTGTGACGTGGCTCTAACTACCCAACCTCAAGCCAGGGGCCGGAGGAAAGGTGAAAGTCCCCACGACACGCAACAGCCTCCGCGGATCTGATCAACAAGCCACGAGGCGAGACCTGCGTGAATATATGCTGTCTGGTCCTCATTAAATAGCACTCGAAAAAGGCCAAACAAAACATGTTTTTTAGGGAAACATGCACAGATGGTAAAACTAAAAAAAAGCAAGGAAATGTTCCTCATCAGGCCAGGCCCGTGGGAAGGAAGGGCATTAGGATCAGGGAGAGCGTGCAGGCTTCCAGGCTGGCAACGAGGGACAATTCCTTTATCTCAGTGCATATTTGTGACATAATTATAGGTTAAATTGTTCATTTATGTGTTAGGCCCTTTTTAGTTTATATGGTATGCAATTTTAAAATTTTCAAAAAGTTTCCATTACTTTTTTTAAAAAAATCAATTTTAGTTTTTTATCAAAATTTAAAAAACAATAAATAACCCCCAGGGATGCCAAGACCTTTGGGTCATAGCCTAAGACACAGACTCACAGACAGACAGAGGCCAGGCCCACAGCCATGGAGAGAGAGGAGAGGTGTGCTGCTGGCCACAGACGCATGGAAGACCAGAGGAGGGCAGGGGCAGAAGTGACACCCCTGGGACCGTGTCACCTCTGTGCTGCTGATGAGAGAATGAATGGGATCATCCTGGTACGAAGCTTGCTCAAGTGTAAAGAGGCCTCCACGTGTGTGGCTCAGCCTTTTCACTTCCAAGAATCTTTCCAAAGGCAAAGAATCAGAGAGGCCATTCATGTGCCAGGATTTTCATTACAGAGCAGATTACGATAGCAAAGGAGTAGAAGAGTGGACACGTATCTGAAGGGAGGACCGGTGAGACAAGCCTGGCAGGTGATAAAGAATTGGGCAACCGCCACATGACCCAGACTCCAGGAGCATCTAGTGAGTGGGAGATGCTCATGCTACTGTATTTGTTTAAAAACAGCAAAAGGATACATAGAATAAGATCTATTTTTTAAAATGTGTTTATATATGTGTGTATATATATATATATATATGAACACAGAAAAGGCACATCTTGATATTCATACTGGTTATTATTTTGTTGATGGAATAAAGATTATTTTTAAATAATTTTAATAAATAATTTTAAAAGAAGGTGAGAGAAATGCAGGAGAAGAAGAGGAAGGAGGAGGAGGAGAGGGAGATCCAAATGCATCCCAGGCCACAAAGCTCTCCTTCAGCCAGTTCTGAACCAACCACTGGCCAAGCCAAGGAACGGATGCCTCACAGGAGAGCACCTGTATGCATTGCCCTGGGCCAGACAAAGAGAAAGCCAGGAGGGAAGGAGGAGGCCCTCTGTGCTCCACGTCCTCCTGGAGACTTTAGCCTGCTCACACGACCTCAGAATCCTGAGCATCCGAAGCCATTTGTCTTTCCCCAAAGGAGAGTCCTGCATCCTGGGACCCACACCCCACCTGGTGCTCAGTTCCTCCTGACGGGACCCTTGGGGCCAGCCTAGCATGCTCACCTGTACAAAGATGGGGAACACCAGGACTTTGGGGGCCAGGGTGACATAGGTGCCGTAGCTTGAGTGCGTGGCATGCGGCCTCAGGACAGGGCAGTCCTGGTAGTTCCCGTGGCCCTTCACGGTCTGCACTGTCTTCATCAACCGGGACTTCTTCCCCAGGCCCGTGTAGGACTTTCCTTTACTGGGAGTCCCTGATTCTGTGGACAGAGATGGGGGACAGTGAGGTGTCTCCATCACCCCTGCAAAGGATCCTCTCTGTGGAAACAGGGAGCACAGACTCAGCCAACCCTGGGGCCTGGGCATCCACCCTGTGCCAGGAGGAGAACACAGGGAGGCCCCAGCAGAGTCATGGGCCTCAAGGAGTCCCTCACCAACAGGTAAATAAGCACCTCCAGGGCCAGGACAGAGCTGGGAACCAACAACTGTGACCACGGCAGCAGTCCCCACCTGTGACCCCAGCCCCGAATCCCATCTATCGGTTTACTGACCTCCCGCTTTTAAATACCAATCAAGTGCTCATATTTTAGGATTCAGGGGGCCTGACCTCACAGTCCCACAGGGAACGACAAGTTGGAGCAGGGGCGACTGCCCGAGGCATCTGCACCCCCGCTGCCATCCCAGCCCAGCTGGCCCATCATCACCCTGAGCAAAGATCCATTCTCAGCAGCGGTGGCAGAGGCAGTGGGCTTTCCCAGGACATATGGGGTGGGTCTGCTGGAGCCACCTGGTCACCACAGTCTAACTAGGGGCACCTGCCGCACCTGTTCTTGGTGGGAAGCTCAAATCCTGCTCCCCTCCTGCTAGCCCGGCGACCTCAGGAGACTGACTTCCTCCTCAGCGCCTCGGTTTCCTCAGCGCCTCGGTTTCCTCAGCTAGATCAACAGGGACAGGCTCATGGGACTGTTGCAAGGGTCAAAGGGGATGCTCTGAGCCAGGTCCCCAGAAGAGCTCCTGGGACGGCATGTCATGTTTGTCATTGTGATTCCCCCACTTGGAAAAGCAAATTTGGAAATTAAGGCACCCCGAGGAACTCTGGCAAGTCTAGGCATTGTCACAGGTAGGAGGTCCTCCACTTGGCCACAGCTTACACAGTATTGYAGTCATAAAAAAGAGAAAGAGTGAGGACAAGGTCACCCCAGGGAAGAGAGCCACAATGACAAAAGGTGGTCCCTCAGGGACCCCGCTGGACACACCTCTGCGTGAACAAGGAGAAGTGCACATGTTTTTATCATGTCCCATCAAATGGGTAGAGAAAAAAGCCCAGAGTGACTAAGAAGTCAGAAACTCCTGAACACAGCAGGGGACAGACAACCCCAGAGTAACCAGGCTCCCGGTGCACCCAGACCCCTTCCAAGGACTCCTGCTGCCAAGGGACCCAGCCAGGCCCTCCCTGGCCCCGGCGCCCAGCTCGGTCCCAGCACCCAGGCCGCCTTCTGTCCCAGCCTAGGCAGCAGCACGGGGGATTGACAGGTGGCCTGACCCCGCTGCAACCCAGGGAAGCTCCCCGCCAACGCGAGGCCGGGCCTGGAGGTTTCACACCTGCTTCCTCCTCCCGCCCAGGGCCCTTCTCACCAAGATGTGAGAAAAACAAGTCAACTGCTCCCCCAAAGAGTGACCACCGATCACAGTGGAATCAGGAGGCGGCACTCCCACCACGATCACTCAAACCGCTTCCTGCTTCTTCAGTGAATCACCTAGAGAGGAGCAGAAAGAACCGAAACCCAGGATGGGGGCAGGAGGCGCAGACGCCCCCAGAAGCCCACATCTCTTTATCAGCTCTGGCCCCAGCGGGCTCTGTACTGCCAGGTGCTGGCCCCTTTGCTGGAAGAATCCACACTAAGTTTCCAGGTCGGCGCGGGATGGAAACTGGGTAACCCCTGAAGCTGAGCACGTGTCCCAGGTCACAGATGGCTGTGTAACCCTGAGTGGGCTCCTTTGCCCTCGGAGTCAGCTTTTGCCACCTTAAAGTGGAGGTCGTGCAAATTTCTGCCTCACCTGGCCCAAGGCCAGTGGGAGCTCACAGAGGCCTGATGGGAATGGGCTGGACCAGAACACAAGTGCCCAACAGGTGACCTCAGACCCTCAGCACTGAATACGCAGCACACCTGGGTTGGCAGGAAGACAGAAAGGGCAGCTGGACCTCAAACCGTGCTGGAGCCACGGGGCCGGCCTGGCACGACACAGGCTAATCTGGCGTGGCCAAGCCTAGACCAGAAGGCAAAACCACCCAGGGCTGACTGGAGGCGACTGAAGCCAACTAGACCAAAATTAAACAAGGGTGCCACCTGCACATGACAAAATGGGGTCCCTGGGCCCCAAGTCTAGACTCCTAAAAGAATCCATTCCCTCCCTTCCCTGGCCCAGGTGCTCATGGCTATCAAAGAACATTCACCTTGGACCTCGAGAGCCATAAATCAACACCTGGCCCATCATGTTGCCTTCAGAGAGGAAAGGTCTGCTCAGTCCCATTTTATAGACAAGGAAACTAAGGCCTAGAGTGCTTGGGTGACTTGTCCAAGGTCATTTGGCTGGAAAACGTTACAAAGCCACACTCAAGCGTCAGCCATGGCCCACAGCCCACCTCCACAACCCCGGTGTTGGGGGGCAGGTGGGCGTGGCTCTCCAGTACCCATTTTCCAAGTCTTTCTTTTTTTTAGAACAGTGCAGATTGCAACCCAGTTGTGGAGCTCAGTGAAGGCAAACTCATTTACTTCCCACCTGCTCCTTCTTACAATGACGTCTGGTCTAAACCCCCACTTCACCCAGTTATCCTGCAACACCTGCCTCCCTGACCAAACACGCTAATTACACAGCGTGGCTCTGAGCTTCCGAGGCGCGCCCTGGCAGCCTTCCCACCCTGGCAGGACTGGATCTGAGGCCAGGCTGCCTTCACAGGGCAGGGGACAATGCTGAGGGCACCCGMGGCCAACGGGAACATGCCAAGTACAGCCGGATGGGTGCCCCAGGGCCCAGCGGGATACCAAACCCTATTCAACTCAGGATGGCTCATGCCTCCTGAAAGGCTGGCCGTCTCCTGGCAGCCGGGTCAGGGTCACAGCCTTGACCTCCGCACAGCCCCCGGTATGCTTCAGGGAAGCTTTGTGCCCTGGATTTCACCCCTTCCTCTGGAYCCCGGGACTGGAAGCACAAAGACTTAATCCCTGGTAAAGAGCAAAGATCTCCCTAGATACCAGCACGGTTACTATTATGAAGAGTAAACAAAACAAAGTCAAAAGCTTGATAGAAGGCATTCAAAAAGTCAACAGTGGCATTAACCACACCATCGTTTCCCCAAGGCTCAGACGGCTGTTCTCTTCTTGGGATCATAGTCTCAAGAGTGAAAACATGGACACATGTGGGGAGTGGCCCTGGAAGGCATCTCTCAGGCTGAGAGGGAACCAACCCCAGGCCGTCCAGCCCTTGGTCACATGCCCACAGCAGGTGACACCCCTCTCYGGCACCCTTACCCCATGCTCAGAGTCAACTGGGGTCATTCTCCCGTAGTCAATCACTCAACCAAAATTTTACTGAGTATCTGCTGTCTGCCAGGCCCTGGGTCTGGGACCAGACTCAAAGAAATATGCCAAACCCAGCCCTGCCCTTAATGAAGTCACCATTTAGCAGTGACATCCTCACTCTCTAATCCAACGTGCCAACTAAAAGTTTTTTAGACACTTCTTGTGGAATCATGATCAGAGTCCTCCCACAAGGAGTGTGGCCTCACTTCCAACAGACCAGGCCCAAGAGCACTGAGGTCTCAGGGTGGTGAGGAAGAAGGCGCCTTCCTCAGTGTCCTTGAGCCTGGTAGGAGCCCTTCTCCTCCCAGAAGAAACAAGCACTCTTCCAAGTACCGTCTTCATGCCACCCACGGAGGGGAASAGCAGGAAGCCAGCTGCAAGTGCTAAGGAAAGGCCACTCTCAGGGAAGGAGGCCAGGAGCTCTGAAGGCAGAGGAAGACTCCAGCATGCCCAGGCGGGCACCACCRGCCACCTGGCCAGTGTCTCCCAACCCTCCAGACACCAGCTGGACTTCTAAGTCAGAGCTCTGTGGCAGGCATGGAGGACCTAATGGAGTGCTCAGCCAGCCAAATGTCAGGACCCACAGGCCAGGCTTCCTGGGARAAGGGGTTGATTTTGGAGTCTGGCTTCCATCCCTGGCTTGGACTTGAAGACCAAAGGAGAAGAATCCATCCAACAGCAGAGACCTCTGTGAGCTTCTAGGACCACCACCTCAGGTCACAGGCTACTGCTCACCACCGTGTGCTCATTTAATCTGCCCAACAAGCCTCTGCCTAGGAATTACTGACCCCCATGTTATAGGTGAAGGAACTGTGGCTCAGTGAGGAGAAACAACTCAAAGTCACACTGCTAGAACTCCAACCCAAGACCTCCGGGCTCCACACTCCACGACTCCCATCCATGCATCCCAGTTACACTGCCTACAGCTCCCAACAAATATGGCGGCTCAGTAAGACTGGAGGATGCTCGACTGGATGCCTGAGACCTGAACACTCATTCTCCTAGACGACTCTGGAAGATTCCCCTCTCTTCTTTCTCAGTTTCACTTCAAGGAAAAACATGGTGGTTCATTAAGGGAGAAAAGGTACCCAGAGGAAAGAGGGTCTGCATCAACATGCTGGGCAGCCTTGACAGAGAGGCTTCTGAACTCTAAGGAAGAGGCTGGGCCACGCCTCAGCTGACCTCTGCCATCTGCCCAGACTGAGATGGTGGGCAGCTCACCTTCGGGGATGGTGTCCTCCTGGTACAAAGGCCGCAGCAGCTGCAAGAGAAAGACAAGAGAACAAGCTCAGCCTCAGGAATTGGCCAGGACAGCCCATCAGGCGGCTGGACACCAGGCCTGGGGGACAGGAGGCGCAGCATCTCAGGGCCAGGGGGAGAAACAGCAGTTTTTCTGACCAGCTGAGGGAGGGGGCCTGGGGAAACACAGAAGCAGGACAGTCAAAGGAGGCTTTATGTGTTGTGAAGTCTCACCCCTTGGCGAGACCCCCAACTTCCTTTACGGCAGCTTCCTCCATGGATCACTGGAATGGGGGACCCTAACAGCCACCACTAAGGAGTGCCACTACGGAGGAAGTTTGGGGCAAGCAGGGTTAAACAAGGTTCAGCCACCTCCTGTACTGAAGGAGGCTCTCAGAACCTCAAACAGGCCAACGTGCATTGGGAGCCCCCCAAAAGGAAAGAGGGTATGGGATCCCCAAATGTGCGTGATCTCAGAACACTTTTTTCCTAGAATATCTCATGGTTAATGTTTGGGGGACGTGCTTCACCGTCCCACCATGTAAGCATGCAGCTCTGCCTTCACACCTCCTGCCACAGGGGGCCCATCCCCTCAAGGCAGCCCTTTGACCACGGAAAAGCACAGACGAGGAGAAAGCTCTTCCTTCTTGGGAGCTGACACTTCCAGCCTGTGCATCCCCTGGCCCTGGCTCAGCTGCATCCTCCACCCAGGACAGCCTTGCGGAGGCCAGAGCCAGGGCAAACCCATCTCCCTGCTCGATGTCCCCAGCCCCTTGCAGGCTCCTCTCGACACCTCCTACCCTCCCACAGGGACCCAGGACTCTCCCCATGTCCATACCTGGCTCCCAGGATTCAGCGGGGCCAGGATGATGTAGTTGGGGTCGGTGGGGGCAGTGGCGCGGGACAGCGCAGGTAGGGTGTGCTGGCCCCCGCGCTTGGTCACCTCCGTGTAGCGCTCCCAGCCACCGAGCAGCAGCCCATCTGAGCTGTCGCACACCAGGTGGCAGCTGTGGCGCTGCTCCGGTCGTGCCTGGGCGCCGTGGGTGCAGTTCTTCTCCCTCTTGTTGGGGGGTGACTGGAGGTCATGCGATGACTTGCAGGAGGCCCGCCGTAGGACCCCACCATCAGGCCCAGGCTTGATCTGGGGAACCATGCGCCACACCAGCAGAATGATCTCACCAGGACAGCTCCTGAAAGTGTGGGGGGTTACACAGAGAAGTTGAGTCTGGGGAAGACCAAAATAAGCTAGGGTGGAGGCTGCAGAATCAAGAGGAAGAGGAGGGGAGGAGGAAGCAAACCCAGAGGCAAAGCGCCCAGTGTCAGGGTCCAAAGGGACGCAAGAGGCCATTTAAAGCAGATATAGCAAAAGGGTCAGCTCGAACCTAAGCTTACTCAATGGAGTCTGAGAAGGACCTGAGGGCAAGGCCAAGTTCAACAGGAAAGAGAACCATACCCAACACAGGCTGCCTGTTGTAGGTAAGATACAGCAAGCAGCCACAAGACAACTACCCACACGCAACCCTTCTCTAGAGAGTCTAGAAGCAAACCAAAATGGAACCATTAAGGTCTTACCCCAGGGGATCAAACTTAAGGGGCCCAAACATTTTTAAATTTTTTAATTGTGCAGTTGAAAAATTTACAACGTCTACACGCCCTAAAACAGAGGGCTCAGCTCTTAGGTGGCAGAAGTACTTAGCTGAAGTGGAAAGCAACCCCCTGGAGCCATGTCAGGAACCACGGGGTCTGTTTAAGAGCTTCTCCCTGCTGTTGGCTCTGGGATCCAAAACTGCTCTGAGCCTGAACCTTCCATTTTCAGGGCAAGAACCGGATTCCCCGAGGAGCACAGTGAATTGCTCACAGCGGGACAAAGAAGGGAACAGCGAGAACAAGACAGGACAAGGCAATGTGCCCAGAGCTGGGGTGGGAGATATGTGCCACCCGCTGCCCCTGTCACCGGATCTCATGTGCCAGCTCCACACATTTCCAGTGCTCCACCGGCCTTTCATTCAGTTGCAACACCGTGTCCAGCTGCTGCAGCCCTGCCCGCTCTGCCGGGCCTCCTGCAGGGACAAAAGAAAACCCATTCAGGGACCTCTAAAGCCCAAGACCCCCTCAAAAGACCTGGAGTGCTTCACTTCCAGGGTGACTTCGGACAAGAACCGCCCTTTTCCTCTCTGTGTCTTTATCTGGGAAATGAGGGGCCAAACTGAGTGGCTTTCCAGGTCCTGGAAGGGAGGTACCCTTTGCCCTCACCTCCTCCCTGCCTGCCCCACCCAGGGCTGGCTCACCTCTCTGCTGTCCTTCCCTCCGCAGGGCCTCCCCGCCCACTGAGAACCCTCTCTGGGGCCAGGCTCACACTCCCCATCCATTGTTCCTACCTCATTCATTGAGTGCCAACTGCATGCCCATCGCCCTGATCACTGAGCCTTGGCTTCTGCCCATTAAGTGTACCCCCTGTGATGAGCAATCTTTCACTTGTTAAAAGTAAAGAGAAGGGATGGCTGATTCTATGTGCTGATCAGGCTTATAGGAGGAGAACTGCATTCCAAACACAGTCCATAACTGACTCTCATTTTCCTATGTAGCCTTTACAGAAATCGGGCTCAGTTCCTATTCAGAATGACTGAGAAACAAAATATGAAAACTTATTTTCATTTTGATAAAACAACAACAACAAAAAGAGTGGATATATTTTCATAAACTTCAGTTTCATCCATGGTCATTTAAAAATATTATTCTTTTCATTTTGAAACCCAGAACTCTTTGCTCCAGTTTGGAGCTCCCTGTCCAGTTCCACCCTGTCTGCAAAGCCCGGGTGCTTGGCAGGACAGTAGAGCCCTGAGTCGCTCACTTACCAGAATCCACAGCCTGGACTCGGACTGGAGAGTCGCAGCAGATGGTGAAGCCAAAGCCGTCTTTGCCCCTCGGGATGGTGATCTAGGACACAGCCCTTCCCAGTCACTCCCAGGAGCCGCAAGGCTGGGAAGCCCACAGGCCCCACCCAGAGCCACCCTCCTCTCCAAGGAAACCAGAGCTGAGAAGGAGCACACTGTCCCAGGCTCAGCCCAGGCATCTTGACGCTGGGTTGTGGGCCAGGCAGGGAAACTGAGAGCTCAGGCGGGAAGCCCCCCAGTCAAAGCTGGAAGGGATGGGGGTCTGGGAAGGGGATACCTTGCCCAAGTCAGCCCCAGCAGCCCCAGCTCTCTGCCCAAGGAATCCCTGAAGCTGYGTCTCCACCTTGCCACGTCCCACGTTCATCACATCCCTTCATTCTTTCCCAGAGACCATGCGTCACCACAGGGCTGGCCCTGGGCTGAGTCCACAGGAAAAGTTAACACGGGGGCTGCCCTCTCAGCACCCAGGGGAGGGAAAACAGGGTCACACTTGCTCAGTGTCAGGTCAAGAGTCAGAGGAAGAACCTGGGGTTCTTGGGCACTCATGGCTAGGGGCCCATGGCAGTCAATGAGCTCTCAGTGCAGGGGCAGGTAAGGGAGGGCACAGCTGGGCCTCCCAGCTGAACAYGAACTAGCCCCTGACTCTGCTGAGCCTGCAGGGCTGTGTGCAAGGCAGGTCCACAGTCCCAACTATCAGAAGTGCCAGGAAAGGGCCCTGTCATCCATGTCCTCTCTTCAGACCCACACAGCTATGGAGCTCCTACTGCACACCAGGCAGGTTCAGAGGCGCATGGCCTTGGTCTCTGCCCCCCAGAGGCCACAAGAGTACATAGATCTCTCCAAAGAGATGCAGGCATGATAAGCAAATAGGAGGACTGTGCTTAAACAATCCTTTGTGCTTGACTCCAGAGGTCACCCTTTACGCGTGGTAGGAACTCAACAAAGGCTCAGTCCACAAGGGCGGCCCAGCACGTCGCACCCACAGAAGGACGCTGTGTGCAACGTGGCGCACGGGCTCCCTTAGGCCTCACTTCACCAGAAAAAAGGCAGAGGTGAAACTCAGAGGGGCCCTGCAGAGGCACAGAGCTATCCTGGGCGGCTCAGCAAGCTGGCAAAGGTCAAGGGCACCGCTTGCTGGGAGACCGCTGGCCCTGACCTTTAGGGGCTGTCTCTTCTGGGCTGGGTGCTTGCATTCACCTGCCGGCTGTCCCAACGCCAGGCTTGACGAAGGGGAGCCGGTGGAGGCCCAGAGCCACCAAGGCCCTTGGAAGCTGGAGGGGCCCCTGAGGCTCTGCTTCCCACCAGCCCTGGGCCTGGATTCAAAGTGAGTTTGTAAAACAGGAAATCTGACAGACAAGGGGAAGGGGGAGGGGGCAGGAAAATACCCTGTTCCCATAAGAATTCTGGGAAAACACGCAGCTAAGACAGGAAGGGAAAAAAAATGGAAAGAAAGAAAGAAAAACAAACCCAGGAGTGAGTGTGGAAAGCCAGAGGAAAGGGGTRACCTCTAACTTCCCAGCCCTCCTGAGGCCCAGAGAAGACTCCGGGGCCTCCTCCACTCCACGGGACCAGCTCTCGGGGGCTTGAACCCCCTCCAGCCCACACAGCAGCTGGATCCCAAAGCTCCCGGGCATTTCCCCAGTCCTACCCCGTGATGGTACCATGGCCCAGCACCCTGGGGCTCTAGGCTAACAGGTTTTGGGTGGTGGCCCCAGAGCCGAGTCTGGAGAGAAGGAATGTGCTCCCACATTCTGGTGGCCTCGTCCAGGCAGGGACAGGAGCCCCTCCACCTTCCTGAGCACCGACCTAAGAAGAGACAGCCCAGAGAACCGTCCAGCCCCGTGGGAGCGGAAGCAGTGGAAGGGGAGGACACAGACTCCTCTCCTGGCTCAGCAGGAGGGGTGGGGCTGCCGGGGAACAGAATGATGCTCTGTGCACTGTGATCACCGGCCATATTGAGAGGGTGCTGTCCAGAGCCTCCCATCGCTGTGGCCCCAGGGGAATGCAGTTTAGCACGCCCRTTTCACAGAAAAGAAAACCAAGGCCCGAAGAGAGAAAGTGCCCAAAGTACCCACCTCGTCCCCAGCCCTCCTCTCTGACCTCAGGACTGGGGGGGGGGGAGCTGCAGGGGGCTGTCCTGACTCTGGGACCTCAACCAACAGTTTGCCTCCCTGAGGGTGGTTTTTGCTCTTTACTGCCCAGGGCAGGAAATGCTACTGCCCCCAAGTCTCAGGCCTGCACCTCACTTCTGCTCTCCTGCCTGGTCCCTGATGCTCTTTTATGCCCGGACTTCAGTCCCCAGCTGCYACCCTAGAAGAGCATAGCAGACATTGAGCCAAGCATTTCACATGTATTGTCTCGTCCACTCCGACAGCACCACCACTGGGTTTTACCATCTAGGAACACGGAGCTTGAGGCTCAGAGAGGGAAAGTGCCTTGCTCAAGGGCTGCAGCTAAAGGGGGCCGATCTCGATTTGAACCCAGGTCCCACAGAAAGCTYAGCCATCTCCACTCTGCAGTGGTTTCTAAAACAGGAGCTGTTGGAACGCTGAGCCCCAGGGCCCCAGGTACAGCCCACACCAGCACCCGTGTCCCCTCTGACCATCAATGCACCCTGGTCTTCTGATCCATAGTCACAAGGAGACCAGGGACTCCATAACATCCCAGTCAGGACTCTCCCTGTCTCACCATTGTGCCACCCAAATGCTAGTGTCACAGGGGCTACTCTTCCAGGCTACAGGAAGGAGGTCAGGGAGCACCAAGTAAGGCTGGCGAGGCAGGACCTGAGAGCTGGGAAGAGGTGGTGGAAGAGAACTCCAGTTCTCCGGTAGCAGGTGTGGACATAAGGGGTCCCTCTGGGCATCTCCCTGGGACCTACATGACACATGTCAGGGGATTCGACCCAATTCCAGTCTGGTTATCAAATCAAGTTTTAAAAATCAGAACAATTTCTGGACTCCCTTCTAGCTTGGACAATGCCAAATTCTGGACATCTCCTCCTTACCCTCACTGGCTCCGTTCCATTTTTATAAGGGRAAAAAGCCTCAGCACAGTTCCAGAGGAGCTTCAGGGGTGGATGGATCATCACCCCACCCTCCAGACCAAGAMGCCAGACCCTTTCGATAATGTTGGATTCCAAAACCACAGCTGCAGGGGTCCAGGCCGGCGGGAGGAGAGTCACACATGTGTGCATGCACACAGAAACATCCTACCCGCACACGGGCACACACCACACTCACAAAGGGYGGAATGGGCACCGCCATCCCCCGGGAAGTGGGGAAAGTTAGCAAAGTCACAGAAGCCGCCTCCAGAAAGAAGCGCCCAGCTGCTCAACCACCAAGCCGCTTGCCATCTTGGACTCCAGATGCCTCTTTAACCYACACCTCCTCCCCAGATAAAAAGAACAGAAAACCAGCTCAATAATCTCTCCCCCAGCCAGTGGTTAGGAGGCTGCCCACAACAGAGCCTCACTGCCCCTAACACGGGACTGTAGGTGACAGGCTGGGCCTTGGTACAGCTCCTGCCCCTGTCCTCCCCCAGACTGAAAGGAGCCTGCAGGAAGGAGAAGGCYGATGGGGAGAGGTCCGCTGGACGGAGCCCCCACCCCTGTCCCCCGATTCCCCACAGTGTCCCCCAAGGGGACAAGCACCCACCTGGCGGTAGCGGCGCTCCGAGCACACCTTGCAGAGCCCATTGAAGCGGTTCATGGCTGCGGGTCCTGCCTCGGCTGCCGCCCCATGAAAACCCAGCTCTCCCCCCAGCAGCGGGAGCCCGCACTGCGCCCGTCAGCCTGGCATGACCGCCCTGGGAAGCCGCCCCGCAGAAGAATGGCAGGAAATCACCTCTCACCTCCCCAAGCCCTGTCTGCGCCGTGTGCCTCTGCAGATAAGCCCGAAGGCTTCCTGAAACCTCAGAATGACAAGGAAGAGGGAGAGTTTTATATTAAAATTCCTGTCAACTAGTTAGTATTCCCCGGGCCTGGCGGGGAGAGGGCGCCTTTGTTCTGGCCGCATTCTCCGCCATGGGCCACTTTGTGATTCCAATGTTCCCACAAACACCCCTCGCTGCCTGCCCAGGAGAACCCAGGCAGAAAACACGACTCCGCGACAACACCGCCTCCCCTGCAAGTGCCAGGTCCCCAGCAGCAAATCCAGGGGACTAACCAGAGAATCTGAGGGAGCCCGGGGAGGGGGAGTTGCACCTGAGGACATCCCATCTCAAAACAGGGAGCACAGAACATTTGGAGCCTACCACTCAGGGGCTCCTGACGTCACTGTCTTTGTCCACATGAAGGGTCTGATGGCACGTGGACCATAATGGCAACTTGGAAGGGGTTTCCAAATCTTCAGACCACCCAGCCCCCTGTTCTTATCCACAAAGAAACTGAGGCCCAGAGAGGCTGTCACACGGCAGGGCAGACCCAGGCTCTATCTCTGGCCTATGGTTCCAGAATCATATTCTGCAGAGCAGCACAGTATAAGCCTGGCCCTCCTGCCCACCTGGGAGCCTGAGGAAGCCCACCTGCCCACTTATGACCTCATGATAGAGGCTGCCCCATGTTTGGTTGCAGTGTGACAGGTGACCCAGGTTTTGGGGCCTCCATCTCCCCACCTGTACAGTGTAGAGATGGATGGGTGAGACCTGGCGGCTTTCCCAGGTCTCTGGCAATCACCCCCTCTTTGCTGAGCCCTGTGGACACCTTTGAGTGTACAAACCCAGAAAAACCCACACACCTCAGAAGAATGTTCCCAGGGGCGTGGGCTTGGGCACAGAATCCAGCATGAAGCAGGACTTTCCTAAGTCACCAAGAAACCTGCAGTGTCTATGCCCATGCAATTCCCATGAATCCCAAGGGTAGGTCCCCCAGGACTGTCCTTTCTGTACTTGGTGCACAGAAAAGGAGGAAAGTCTTTGCAGCTACCCCTAAAGCTGGACGAAGCTTTTCAATTCCCAACAAAAAGCACAGAAATCACTGGCAGGTTTCTCTCACAGCAGGCTGTTCAAAATGGGAGCAACTAGACATGTGTGCAGGGTATTGAAATTACTTTAAATAAAAGCCGACATTCAGCTCCTCAGTCCTGCTAGCCACATCTGAGTGACAGCTCAATAGCCACAGGCAGAAGTGACCACCACCCTGGATGGCACAGGGGTGAACTGTGCACACCACAAGGCCAGACCTTGCACATGTGCATGGCTCTGTCCCAGCACTGGGCTAGGACCACACAGGTATAGACACGTCATGAAGGAGTGAAGACGTAAATGCATTGAGTCAGTGAAGTGACGGTGCCTTGTGGATTGCAATACACCTCCGTGTCAGATGTTACAGACCCTGTCAATGGTCAATGGCGGATCTTCCCAGTTGTCCTCAGGTAGGAAACTGCACAGTGCAGTGCACACGGGGCTTTAGAATCAAGGCTGCTCCCTGCTCACAGTAGGCCCAACTCAAGATGGTGGTATAGCCACAGTGCCAGGAAAGCAGAGGGTTTGGGGCCTCTGAGAAGGGAGGACTTGGCTTCCAGAAGCTCAAAGTCAACAAGATCCATAAGTTTCCACTTCCAGGAGTGAGAAGTCTGTCCCTTTCCCCGCCATGGCTGCAATCATGAACAACCTGAGAAAAGCATCTATTTCCTATGGTGCACTTTAGAAAAGTCAAGAGATACTCCCAGTGTTCCCTTCAGGTCAGGGGATATAGCTCAGTGGTAGCTCTCTTGCCTAACACGCACGAGGCCCCAGGTCCAATCCCCAGCACCACAAAGAGAGAAAAGAAAAACTGCCTTCAGAATGCAGAAGTTGCTGTGGAGTCTCAAACACCAAATGCCGCTCGCTTTGGAGGTCACCAAGGCTGAGGGTCTGACAATCGGATCAGAGCCCCTGGAGCAATGCTCAGGTGCGACCAGGTGCCCCCAGCCCTACCCAGTCCTATCCCTACCTACCTCGAATTCCTCCCCATTGTCGGGGTCCCCACATCCTGGCATTCTCAGCAGCGGGTCTGGAAGGGGACAGAGCAGAGTCAGAAAGCTTCTGCTGACATGTGAGGGCCCTTTCCGCACACCACCCAGAGGATGAGGCTGGGCAACAGGACAATGTCACTGCCAGGCCCATTCCATGACCCCCTGATATAGAGATGTCCGGGGCTCAAGCCAGGCAGGGCTCTGGAGCCAGGTCTGCAGTCCTTCCCAGAACAGGACTGAAGAAGACACAAAACCCAAGTCCTGAGCCTCAGGGCTCCTGGCAGGTCCCACACAGCCTGTCGGTAGAGGTGGGCACTCCAAGGTCAGCAAGGCAGCCTAGAGGAATACCTCGAGACGTGGAGCCTGGGAAGGAGCTGGTCAGGAAGAAAGGAAGCCCTCCAGGAGCAAGGTGGGGGGCTGGACCACGGGGGGGCCAGGCCTCCAATCCCCTCCCAGGAAGCTTCAACCTGATAAATAAAGATGCCGTGGACAGGAGCAGGCCTGTAAGCTGGATTCTAGTCTAGAATTCCCCGGACCCAGTGGCTGGACAAGGGCCTGGAGTGGCAGATTCCCTAAAGCGCAGGGACCAGTGCTCCACACAGGCAAGGAAGGAGGGGGAAGCCTGGGGGGGGGAGCTGCAGGGGGTGTGCTCACACCTCTCAGGGGCCGCAGCCGCCGTCTGGCCACCTTCAGGTGCTTGGTCCGACCGAGGTCCTCCCCCAGAAGGTAGTACCAGCCACTGACCTCCTGTGATGAGAGAAGGAATGACACTTTCAGACAAAGGAGGCAGAGGGCACAGGTCAGGCAGTTACCAATTGCTCTCAAAGAGTGGCAGCTGGACACCCCCCCTTCAGAGACACAGATGTCCAGCCTCCTGCCTCATGGCCACCACACCTGCACCTCCCGGAGGCCCTCCCCTCCCTAGAGCTCCAGCAGAACTGGAACTCCCTCTGTGGGACTCCGTGGCTTCTTATCCCTGGAGGACAACCGTGCAGTTGTCTCCTCCCCCACCTCCACCCCTGCCCCAGATTGTACACAGGCTCCTGACATGGCTGACACTGAGACTAGTACACAGTCAGAGCCCAATAAATGTTTGACAAATCAGAAGGAGGTGAAAGTCATATGGAGGGGACAAAGAGCAGACATTGGAGGCCCCTTGCAGTCTCCAGGCTCCCGAGGGAACATCTTTTCTCATGGAAATGAATCCCAGGCAGCAGTCCAAAGATCATGGGGCCCTTAGGCAAGGTAAAGGGTCCTCAGCCACCCCTACCCCACAGACTTCACTCCCAGGTCACAAAGCTGGGTGGCAGGGCCATGCAGCAGGTCACCAGGACACCCAGGGATGTGCAAACGGAGTGTATTCCTGCCCTGAGCAACAGCTGCAGTCTGGGAGTGGGCAGCAGGGCAGAGACGACAGCCGGTGACCCAGAGGGAAGGCCTCCAAGTCCCATGTGCTCGCCCAGTCCAAGGCAAGCTCCAGAGATGTGCCGCTCCCTCCTCCTCTGAGCACCTGCTGGACCAGAAGCATCAGACCCAGCAGACACATCAAGAGGACCCCTGTGTGGGACCACCAGGAGCACCTGCCCCCTCTTCCAGGGTGAGCCAGGAGTGCTCTGTTCCTCCAGGGACCTGCCAGTCTCAGCAGACACCAGATTCAGCCTCCAGGGAGGCCTTGTAGCTACCTAACTGCCGTCCGACAAGATAAACCAAGAAGGAGACCCAAGCCCTCAGGTAGGTAGGTGACAAACAATGCTGTTACTGGGGACACTGGCACATGCCTTGTGGGGGGCACCATGCCACAGAATCTCTACCCAAGGATTTCCAGAGAAGGCCTGCCCATGCCAGGCTGGGCCTGGGCAGGATGATGTACTGGAAACCCCCCAGGACCCACCTTATCCGGAGCCAGGAGGGACTTCACCCCGAAGCTCATGCAGCCGATGAGTGCACATTTCCTGGGGAACAGCAGAGGACAACTCAGTGCCCGCACTGGGCTGCACCCAGAGTTCCCCTACCAGTGCACACAGGGTTGCCCAGTGCACAGGACTGAGCACTTTACCAGCCTAGCTTCACTTGACTCTTGAGATGCAAGGTCAGAAGTTCTCTCTGATTTAGAGAGAAACACAAGGCTCAGGGTTAGTACCTTCCCAGGGTCACAGGACTGGCGAGTCCTGTCACAGGAACCTGCTCGACCCGACCTCTGCCCACTTGGTCAGTGACCAGAGGCCTAGAAGGTCTCTATAAACATTTTGTTAGGATCCTCTGGAAAGGGTGGCAGCTCACCCCCTAACAGGCTTAACCAAAACAAAAGAAGCCTCTCAAAGGCAGCCAAGCTAAGTGAGGGGTGGGGTGCAGGATGCTAGGGGACTGGCCCTCAAAACTGGTCCACCTGCCTGCTAATCCATGCTCTGAACCACGGCCACCCACGGGGCTGAGGCCTCTGCCTCCTGCTGTCCAGTCACTAGCTCACTCCACTACTCCTCCAGCTGTGGCTCCAGCTGTCACCCTTCCCTTTTGCCCCCTCCCATCATATTCATAATCTACTCAAGGAGGACAGCGCAGTCAACCTGATAAAGCATCCCTTCCATGTCCACCTCCCCAGCCCACCGCCAAACAAATCCTCCTTCCTACTGGGAGGTAGCCAAGGCCACACTAGCAGGAGGCAGTCGCAGTGGCTGCCTAAGTGGCAGATGCTCATCTGAGCTGCCACTCAAAGTTGTCTGGACTTTGCCAACATCGTCCTACTGATTTTGCTTTGTTTGCAACACATTCAAGAGAAAGCCGGCTGGTGTCCAGGTGCCCACACTGCCTCGCTCTACTCTTGTCTCATGCTGGGCACGGCTGAAACGAGAAATCTCCAGGCCAATGCATTAACTGTAATCAATGCAGCCCTGCCCTCCTCTCCAGTAAGTGGAAGTTTCGTTCCCTGGTGTTAGAGAATGCTAAATGGTTAATAGCCTCCCTTGAGCTTTGCTTCCTACTAAGGGGCCTCCAATGATTTCAGGATCATTCAGGCAGAGCAAATTGTCACAATTAATGTCCACAAGCAGGAACTTTTCTCTGAGTGTTCTTCAATTAGCCATTTCTGCAGGCTGCTTTTGAAAAACCTCTGGAGGAAGAAAGACTTCTTTTACAAGCAACCTGAGCATACGGCAGCATACTCCAATATACTCGTCAGCTTACAGGCTTGGGAACAAGGGCTGGAGAGGCCTGAAGTTTCTGGAATCAAGCCTTGGTCCTTTCTGACTGCCAAGGTCTGAGCTCCAGGCATGGTGCACTCTGTGAAGGCTTGACAAATGGGAGAATCCATCATGCCCATGGTTGGCAGGCACTGGGCAAGAAGCCCCAGCATTAAGGAAACAAGACAAACAGGCAGGAATTTACACAGCAGCTCAAGACAGCAATACAGGGAGAGATTGACAGATGAACAAGCACAGGCAACAGATTCTGAAGGCTTAGGGGGCAAGAGGTAGTTTAGGACTGAGATGCTTGCAGGAGACCTAATGAGTAGAGCCAGAGAGAGAGAGAGGAAGAAGAGGAAGAGCATCTCAGGCACAGGGAACAGCCCATACAAAGGCTCAGAAGTCACTTCATGGAGCACACAGAGGGAAGAGAATTTAGTTTACTTTTGAGCATAGGGGAGAGACACACTGCAAGATGAGAATGCATTATTTTCCAGGGCACGCATTTCAAGTCTCATTCTCAGGGACTGAAACTGTTTTTCATTACAGGGTTATACAATTTAATGTCAATTTGTTTTTTAATTTGATGGCTTCGGTTGAGCACATATTTTTCCATTCATTTCTTTCCTTAGGTTTCGGTATCCATCACTGGCCACAAGCTTTTTGACATTAGATCACTGTTCTTGGCACAGAGACCTTGTTTATAATGGATTAAGGGAGAGGGGACACTTACAGTGCCCAGGATGGTGCTTGACATATAGCAAGCAGACCCTCCATAAGTGTAGCTACTGTTAGCCTAAAATGTTGTGTTCTTGAATTATAAATTTTTCTAAAAAACTTGGTGCATGCCATTACACCTCTCTCCAAGACGGTTCTCTGACCACAAGTTCTGAAAAATGCTATAATTCATACTAGAAACTTCTGTTTGGCTTTCAGCATATCATCAAACCGAATTTCCAAATAGCTTAGTTCCATATTCAATGTGATTGAAGAATCATCATTATTTCTAAGTGTGATTATGACACTGTGGTCATGTTTTTTAAAGACTTATTTTTAAGAGATATACACTGATGAACTGTCTGGTGTTTGCTTTAAATACCACGGGAAGAGGGCAAAATGGACAAAGCATAGGTGACAGAAGATAGGCCATGAAGGAATGAAACTGGGATGAGATTTCAAGGGTTTATTATATGATATCACCTACCTTTGCATATGTTTGAAATGTCTATAACTTTTTAAAATTCACAGAACCTTGAAGCTGGAAGTAGAGACATCTGCATTTCACAGGCAAGGACACTGAGGTCTGAGCCTTTGCCAGCACTCGTTTGTGGATCATCGTGTTTTTCTAAGTGAGTCCCTGGACTCACTTAGGATCATGAGGAATCTTGGACCCAATGTTTCCCTCTTACCTCCTACTGGTTTCAGAATGTGACCACCACTCATGTGGCTGGAATGATTTACATCAGACTCTGCTATTGGTGCTCACAGAAGCAGCCTGAGGCCTGAAGGGGATGCTTCTGACTCAGAAAGAGCCACTTCAGAGTTATTTATCACCCAGGCAAGGGTACAGACACAGGCTTGGGGACATACTGCCTGCATTTGCAACTTGTTCTCATTGCATTTCCGTTGTGTTACCTTGATGAAAGGTCCATAAACTTGAGCAAGGTCCATAAACTTTCTGAGCAGGTGAGACCCCCAGGGAGGTCTATTCTTGCCTGTAAAATACCTACAATAATAATACCCCACCTCCTAAGGTGGTGTGAGGATAGATTAGATAATGCCTGGCATGGGCGTGCTTAGGGTAATGTCTACTCATAAGAAGTGCCTGATAAGCATAAGCTGTTACATAACCTCAGGCCAAGTCCTGGGCCTTTGTGGGCCTCAGTTTCCTCTTCTCTGAAGCCAGGGACACTACTCATTCATACCCTTCAGGGCTGTTATGAGGATTAAACAAGATAATGTATGGAAAATGCTTGGCACAGAGAATTTAGCAATCGCCTGTTTCCTTCCTTCCATAATTGTCTTTCACGTTAAAAGGTTCAACGTCCATCCTTCAGAGAAACACAATTTGATCTGGGAGCATTCAGCAGAGTCAAAGTTTCCTGTCAGCCCTGTCTGTCCCTCACCCGGCTCAGGCCTCCTCGTTCAGAAATGGACCAGTAAAGGACAGGCCACGAGAAGACACCAAGACCGAGGCCCCACTGCTGCTGCCAGCTTCTGCAGGGCCATCTGCTCACAGACAGGCCGGCCAGAGCCTACCCTGTCCCTCTTGAGCTTTGGGCTGGGACTGTGACCACAAGTTGGGCTGTGTTTCATTTAATAAGGAATCTCACTTTCCCAAAATAGGCAACAAGTGGAGACGCAGCTCGGGTCACGCTGCCTGGCTGGGGCTGACTCACTTTCCCCCCGCTTCACTTTCTCTTCCAAAAAACGTGACCTGCGACCTGTATTACTGGATCCTTCACATGCGGCTCCGCCCCTTGCTGTGTTCTCCACGGAGGGAGAACCCCGTGGGAGGCACGGCCCGGTCCTTGCCTCCACCCGGTGGGTGAGCCAAGCACCCTTCTGCCTCTCTGACACTCCTGTGCCTCCAGAACTGTCTCTGCATTTCCCCACCCCTTCAAAGACACAGTTCTGACCCTTGGCCTTGAACAAGGCCCCTCCCTGCCAGAATGTCACCCACCTCCTGTCTCCACGGTCCTGGCTGCACACCTCCATGTGGCTCTGGTGAAACCTCTCTCTCCCTTGTACTCCAGGAATAAAGGTTTCCCTCCTCGACCTCTGCAAAGCTGACCCACCTTCCCCTCTAGTTCACTCTGCCTTCGCTGGGGACACCACCAGCCACCCAAGAGCTAGCTTTGACTTTTGCTGCACTCACTGGCAAATAACCACTAAGTACTTACTATTAACTGAATCTCTCAAATATGTCTTGCTTCTATTTTCTTCCTCTCATCTCTGTCGCCTTGACCTACCAAAGATGTAATCAAACCACAGATCTAGAATGTGCATCTGTCATTCCCTGGCTTGACACCCTTGGGTATCTCCCAAGGGCCAAAGGTTCCGGCTGCATGCACTTGTTTAAAAGAAGATTCCTAGGCCCTAACCATGAAGATCCAGATTTAGTCCATCTGATGTGGCCCCTGGGAACCTGTGTTCCTCCCAAGCATCCCAGATGATACTGATGCACATCCAGGATTGAGAACCACTGGCCATTAGGAGAAAACCCACTCTGCACAGAACCCATAGGAGCATCTGGTTCAACTACACTACCCCTTCATCTCATCTCCAGCCAGGGGCTACTTTGCATTTAACTCTCCAGCAACTCCAGTGAGTCTGCAGGTACCCCTCACTCTGCTCCTGTCCTCTCTGTGCTTCTGGTTCTCTCTTCTGTCTTTTTGCTTGCATACCCATGAGGCATTATGGTGTTAAGTTTAAGGAATCAGCTCCATCAGTAGGCTGAGGCAAGAGGATTGAAGGTTCAAAGCCAGCCTCCACAATTTAATGAGGCTATAAGCAACCTAATGAGACCCTGTCTCAAAATAAAAATATATTTTTAAAAAGGGCTGTGGATGCAGCTTAGTAGTTAAGCACCTTGTGTTCAATTTTAATCCCTGATACAAAAAAAAAAATACTCAGGTCCAGCTGCCTTGATTCCCACCCCAGCTCTACTTCACTGTATGGGTGACCTTGCGTAAGGTACTAGCCTTTCGTAGCTTCAGTTTCCTCTTCTGAAAATTTAGGAGAAAACTATATCTTCAGAGTTTTTATAATAATTAAATGAGATAATGTACTGCCAACCCCTAACTCAAGGTTGGCACCCAGCAAATAGTTGCTCTTGTTATTAATGTGATGTCCCCTTCCTCATCCACACCATTAAGTCTATCATTGATCCTCTAGTAAGCAGGACAGTCTCTGATAGATCCCGTGAGTTCTCAGTGCCTAGAATGTTGGTGCCAGAAAATGGCAGCTGAATGGATAGATGAATGGATGAACAGATGGGTGGGTGGATGGATGGATGGATGGATGACTGAGTGGATGGATGAGTGGATGGATGAATGGATATATGAACAGATAGATGGGTGGGTGGATGGATGACTGAGTGGGTGGATGAGTGAATGGATAGATGGATGGATGGATGAATGGATGGATGGATAGATAGATGGGTGGATGGATGGATGGATGGATGGATGGATGGATGGATGAATGGATGGATGCATGAATGGATGGATGGATAGATAGATGGGTGGGTGGATGGATGGATGGACAGATGGGTAGATGGATGGATGGGCAGATGGATGACTGAGTGGATGGATGGGTGGTGTATGGATGAATGGATGGATGGATGGATAGATGGGTGGGTGGATGGATGACTGAGTGGATGGGTGGATGGTTGGATGGATGAATGACTGAGTGGATAGTTGAATGAATGGATAGATGGATGGATGGATGATATGGATAGATAGATGGGTGGATGGATGACTGAGTGGATGGATAGATGGACAGATGGATATAGATGCGTGGTGGATAGATGGATGGATGGATGGATGGATAGATGGGTGGGTGGATGGATGACTGGGTGGATGGATGACTGTGTGGATGGAAAAATGAATAGATGGATGGATGAATGGATGGATGGATGGACAGATAGATGAGTGGTGGATGGATGGATGGATGAATAGATGTGTGGGTGGATGGATGACTGAGTGGATGGATGGATGCATGGATGGACAGATGGGTGGATGTATGGATGGATGGATGGATATAGATGGATAGATGGGTGGATGGATTACTGAGTAGATGGATAGATGGATGGATGGATGGATAGATAGATGGGTGGTGGATAGATGGATAGATGGATAGATAGATGGGTGGGTGGGTTGATGACTGAGTGGATGCATGGATGAATGGAGAGATGGATGGAGAGGTCTCTAGCACCATGAGTACCACTCTATGAGGAAAAGCAGACACTCTATTAAAGCAAAAATTCTTCATTTTGAATGTTAAATAGGGCCCAACTCTAAAAAGTATACTCACCAAAAAAATTTAGTAAATTATATACTAAAAAGCATTTAGGGGGTAGGATATACAGGTCAATAGTAGCATGCTTGCCTAGCATGGGCAAGGCCCTGAGTTCAATCCTCAGCACCACAAAAAATAAATAAATAAATAAGCTTCAACTCAAAAATATTTTCCAGGTCTAAGCTGGTGAGTTGAGCTGGTTTTCATCCACCTAGGCCCCTTCCCAGTCACATTTGGTTCTGATTGCTTAATAAATGTTAGCGACCACCTCATCTCCCAGATTCCTCCTGCCGTACCTGCTGCTCACAGTGAACTGCTCTCACCCGCCTTCAAGAACAGCCCATTCTCACGCTCCCCTGCCCAGCATTCCTCTCTGCTCCATATTGCCTGCCACTACTAAAGACTGCACGTGGCCTCCTGTGTCCTGGGCTACCTGCAAGAACAGCCTGTTTGGATTCTCCTACAGGATACTTCTGCACCTGCCTGAGCTGGCCGCCCTGCAACCTGAGCCCTCTCTACACATTTCCACCTCCCTGCCTTTCCTCAGGCTGCGCCCTGCCTGGAATATGCTCTCTGACCTTCTCTCCTTGTCTCATTTATAGTTTGTTCAAGTTCAAAATCCTACTTTCCCCAGGAAGCCCCCCTTATCATCAGCCTGCAGTGAGCTCTCCCTCTTCCCACACTGCCTGTCCTCGTTACCCATCTCATTCCTCATGCATGCGGACAATATTTATTCAACATCGTCATGCTAGGCACTAGGTACAGTGTGCTGAGTAAGAGCAAAATAGGCCTATTTTTCATGGTGCATGGAGTCCTTTGGAACTGGACAAGTGTATGTTGTCACCTAACGAATCTCCATGCGGCAGCCCTTGCCCCCACCTGAACACTGGGCACCTTGACAGCAGAATCCACGTGTGGGTTGGTTGGCACCCCTGGAGGCCAACGCTGTGCCTGGTTGATACCAAGCATTTGGCAAATCCTCATGATACCAGGGTTCTCAGCCTCACTTGGAGTGATGGTGACTCAGTAGGTGGCAGCCTCTGCAATGTAGCACTGTCCCTACTACTCCTCCGGCAGGCACTAATGGAGCCCCTGCTGCATGCTGGACTTCTGGCTGCCACCCACAGCCCAGAGCAGGGTCTCCATCCAGCTCAGAGCAGGGTCTCCGTCCAGCTCAGCAGTTCTCACCTGGTCTTACTGGCCCTGTTCCACACGGTAACCAGAAGACGCTTGTGATCATCCTCTTCAGGGACAGGACTGTGAAGCAAAGCAGACCATCAGAGAGCTGGAAAAGCCAGACCCACCAAGCCTGTCATAATTGCAAAAATCTGAAAAGAACCTCAACAGCTGGTTAAATAAACTCTAGCGTGGGAGATGAGTACTTACACGGACAGAAGAGTTTATATTACATTGTTAAGAACAAAAAGGAGGTTACAGCACATCATTATGAAACAATTCCATTTCATAAACACACACACACACACACACACACACGTCCACGCCCACACCAATGAAAGGCCCTGATGAGGGATACAGAAGGGCCTATCTGTCTGAGTTGTTGAACCACGGGTGTTTTCTATTTTCTTCTCAGCTCCTCTGTTTTCCAGTTTTCTAGAATATGCAAAATCACCTCTTGAGGTGGAGGGGAGAAAACAAAATATAATTTTTAATTTTCACTCATAAGAAAAGACCAAATGTCCGTGACCTTCCCATTGACCTCAGAGTGCAGAGGTGGGGAAAAGAAATAACAACAGCAGCAGTTCCCAGTCTGCCAGGTGATGCCACACATCRCATTGACAGCTCGCAGATCCCCCGAGGCGGGTGCTATTAGTAGCCCCACTTCACAAATGAGGAAGCTGAGGCTCAGGGAGGTTAACAAGTTTAAATAAAAAAGGGGGACAGGGAAGTGAAATGTCCCTCAGCTTGGAAAATTCCTTCTACTGCAAGAGAAATCTTGGCCCGAGGCATGGTGGGAAATTGCCTACTCTTCAGGGGCAGCCAGGCCCAGGCTGGGCATTTTAGTTCTGAGAACCAGCCAAGTGATACCTTATCGCTGTGGACCTCACTGCTGGGCCCAGGGCCAGGGATGCAAGGACACAAGGGAATGAGAAAACAAAGACATCCTTTAAGTCACTGTTTTTCTGCTTAGATCCAGTTCTAGATTTGGCAAACAGAGCTGTTTCCAAATAAACATTCCTTCCCCCTCCTCTTGAGGGCCCATTTGCCCAGACTCTTACAAGAAAAAGTGTTCATGGAAAGCAGGGTTTCTGCAGTCTGGAATGGTCTGCGTCTTCTGAAAGCGCATTCGATTGTTTTCAGGGATCAAGGAAACCTTGAGTTGAAGAAAAGCAAGCGTTAGGTCACAACGTCACCTAAGTCCAGCAGCCAACTCTGTGCATTTCTGTGCTAAAGGTTTCCCAGTGTCCTCCAAACCAGCCTCTGCAGAGGATCGAGTGGGGTCCCCAGTTAGATGCTGGAGAGGAACAAGGAGCATGGAGCAGGGGGTGTTGGGAGTCAGATGCCAGGACAGGGCCTCTTGGTGGTGGTACCAAGAAGGCAGCACAGCCAGAGATGGGGTAAAAAGGCACCTGCTCTGTTCTTCCTCCAAGCTGGGAGATTCCCCCAAAATCCAAAGCTCTCCTCTCTTCTAGACTCCTGACAGCTGTTAACAGCCCTTCACAGAGGCTCYGCTCCTTCTCCTGCAAGGCCAGGCTCTCTCCCCAGGGTGCTCTCCCCTGCAGACCCCCAGCCATGCTCTGGATAGAGCCCTCACCCAGGCCCTTGAGCAGGGGAGGACTTAGGAAGAATGCAGAGGGTAGCACAAGGGACTACTATCCCATTGCCACACTAAAGGAAGCTCCTGGCCTTGTCTCCCACTGGAAGCTGACCCTCGCCCTCCTGGCTTCACCAAGAGGACCCAACTCAGCAGGCTCTTCCAGGCCTCAGAGACACTCCCTCCGCTCCCCTGCCCAATCCTGGCTGCCCTGCTTCTAGCTTTGGAGGGTAGGGAGTAAAAATATTATTTTTTACAAGAGGCCTTAGATTTCAGCCACTCATGTGCTCACTGTGCCCATCTACATGGATGACCAGGATCACCGTTAAGATTCTAGCTCCTGCCCAAAGCCCCAGGGACCAAGGTGGCGAAAGGAAAGGGTCTATCCTAGCACAGAGCCTAAGCAATGCCCACTGACCCAACGAGTGAGTTGGTAGCTACACTCAAATGGCCTGAGCCTGTGGATATGCTGGGACCTTGGGACTCCACCCAGTGGCACGGTCCCTCAATACCCCCAACAATACCACCCCTCCAGTCTCACGTACCTTCACATAGGGATCACAGACGCCGGGCTCTTTGCTAATCAGGCCTCTCCCTTCTATGACTAAAAGAAAATGGAAATGTTGGGGGGGGCGGAACACACTTCTCTCTCTCTCTCTCTCTCTCTCTCTCACACACACACACACACACACACACACACACACACTAGCTCAAAGATCTGTAAAGAAATTCAGGGCATACCTGTGAGCAGTGGGCATGGCCCTCACTCCCAGGCCCTTCATCTGTACAACAACATTGGATATAAACCCCCTGGGGTCTAGTCCATGCCGCCGTCCCCCACATTCTAGCAGCACCCTCACCACAACACCACAGGGTGTGTTCACTTCCCTGAATCTTACAGCTGGAAGGGAATCTAAAATATATACAGCCCAACCCCTCCTGAAGGGGGCAAATGGGGCTGCAAGGGGGACCAAAGAAGTAAGGAGCTTGCCCRAAATCTCAGAGCCCTGGGGATGTAGAACCCCATGTCCTTGGACTCCCAGTCTAGTGCTCCTTCTGCCTTCTGGGGTGGCAGGGCCAAGCTGGCCCTGCCTGATGAGCTGCATTGTGGGTGGGCAGAGCGGCCCCCAAGCTCGGGTTCCAGAGGCAGTCAGATGCCAGCTTGGCTCCCAGCTGGGCCACGTCCTGAGCACACAGGCTAGAGCATCACCTTGTCTTCTCTCTGAGACGGACTTTGCCATTTTTCCATGGGTTAGAGCTGACAATATGCCCTTCACACAATCATCGTACCCGTTAAATGAGATAATGTATCTACAGTGCTTAGTAGAGTGCCTGGCAAATAAGCCACTGCTCCACAAATGTTTCTGCTAGAGAATAAATAAAGGCCAAGGGACAGGCGTGGGCTGGGTGCCGGTCTGGTCATGAGGGCAAGAGTGACCTGTCGGCCCGAGGAGCCTGAGCCTCCTTTCTGTTTTCTTTTGAGCTTGGTTTTGAGGGAACCCTGGAGTTGGCCTGGACAGAGCCCCTGGTAGTCTGGGGCAGGAGGCCTGGGAAGCCAAATGAAAGGGACGAAGGGCTGAGGCTGGGGCGAAGCCAAGACAAACTGTGAGGACAAATGGGGTGGTGGAGGCCAAGGCGCATTCTGCAAAAGCTGTTTGCACAGCTGGAGCCAGGCTCTGTTGGGCAGAGAACACCCCTCTTCTGGTCCTTGGGAACTTCACCTTGGGCCCCCTCAGCCACAACCAGGGAACCCCCGGCRCCCCCGGGTCTGTTGGGCCCTGCATCCTAGTCACTGTGTCTGTGTCACCCCTCCCCTGGAGGGCGCGGCTCCCGAGGGCAGGATCCAGGCCCGAGGGCCTCCTGGGTCACCGTGGTGGTGAGGCARGCCTGGCCCCTGCCCTCGCTGCACTCCACGCTGCTGGAGAGACCAGACCCAGGGTGGCTCTGGGCAGCCAGGCTGTGGGGACACAAGGAGGGAGCAATAAACTCAGCCCGGGCAGATGGGGGGTGTGACTCCCAGAGGGGAAAAGATAACAACATGAGCCGCCTTCCTGCCTGAATCTTGGTGATGGGGAAGGGAAGGCAGACATGTTTCTTGCAAAAGCAGAGGGAGGGAGAGTTATTTTTCAAAGGGTGTTTGACAAAGAGGGAAGGATTTTCCAAACACAAAGAACAGTAGGTGCAAAGGCACAGAGGCATGGTCAAGCGGGGTRTATACAGCGGGGTCCAAAGAACTACAAAGGACGGGGGTGGAGGCGGCCCTGACAGCAAGAGCCAGGGTGGCTGGGGAGAAAAGCAGTGCGTCTGGGCTGAGCAAAGGGTCCAGGCAGTGGGGACCATGACACAAGCTTGTGACTGTTTACATGTTGAGTAAAGAACAAATGGATAAATGAGCGTGTAAAATATAAGACCCTCCCGTGCCGGGGGGCAGCCATACTAGATGGATCTTCAAATGCAGCAGGCCTCTCTGGCCCCAGGACCTTTGCAATTGCTGCCCCCTGCTCCCTTCTGCTTGGGGTGGGCCTGCTCCTCCTCCAGGGTGGAGTGTGATTATTACCACTGTGCCATTCTCCTTGGCATCCCATCAGCACCACCAAGACAGGAGTAAGTGCTTCTCAGTGTCCCCAACCCCTACCCAAGCCAATGCTCAGCCACTATTTTTGGAATTTATGGCATTCTTTTTTATTTAACCAACACWTATGTAGGGTTTACTAGATGCTGGGCTCTGTTCTAAGCAATATACTAGTCTTAACTCACTTCATTCTTATAACAAGCCACGTGACGAATTCTATTACTACTACCATTCAACAGAGAAGAAAACTGAGCTTGCTCAACGTCACCAGCCAGGAAAGAATCAGAGCTGGGGTTCAGATTCTGGAGGTCTAGTATGGTTTGGATGTGAGGTGTTCCCCAAAAGCCCACGTGTGAGACAATGCAAAAGGTTCAGAGAAGACGGGCGCAGTGGCTCATGCCCGTAATCCCAGCGGCTCGGGAGACTGAGACTGGAGGATCGTGAGTTCAAAGCCACCATCAGCAATGGCAAGGTACTAAGCAACTCAGTGAGACCCTGTCTCCAAATAAAATACAAAATAGGGCTGGGGAGATGGCTCAGTGATTGGGTGCCCCAGTACCAAAAAAAAAAAAAAGATCCAGAGAAGAAATGACTGGGTTACAAGAACTTTAACCCAATCAATCAGTGAATCAATCACCTGATGGGATTCATTGAATGGTAATGAAGGGAGGTGGGGTGTGGCTGGAGGAGGGGGGCGTTGGGGGCGTGGCCTTGGGGTCTATATTTTGTATCAGGCAGTGGAGTCTCTCTGCTTCCTCATCACCCCTGAGCTGCTTCCCTCTGCCACACTCTTCCTCCATGTCTGCCTCRCCTCACCTGAGGAATGGAGGCTGCTGTCTGTGCACTGAGACCTCTGAAACCGTGAGAAGCTCAATMAACCATTCCTCCTTTACAGTTGTTCTGATCAGTTCCTTTTGTCACAGAAGCAAAAAAGCTGACCAGAACAAGGTCTGACTCCCAGACTGTGATCTGAACATGACCCTGCACAGCCACCAGTGGCTGGAGAAATGAATGAATGAATGAATGAATGAATGAGAAAAAGAGAGAGACGCTGAAAGGGTGGGAGAAAGGACCAGCTCCGTGGGTGGAAGGGCAGCACCAGGGTTCCCAGGGACAGCTCTGGGCTCCACAGGCAAAGGCCCGCTGTGAGGACTCCTGACCCAGCAGGCCGGCTCCTGGCCGGCTCTGCAGAAAGAGCCCCGAGTGAATGACCACTTTTGTCGATGGGCACACAGCAGGACACAAAGATGAGACAAGAAGCTGTGGCCCATGGCAACCCTGGCCCCAGGCAGGAGGGGAGTGGCCCCCCTTTGCTACGTGAGCCCGTGCACAGCCATACTCACTGTGGAGCAGCAGGACCCGGTCCTTGGTGTCAATCGACAGCTTCAGCTGACCTAAGGAAACCAGAGAAACAGCTCGCCTCAGCTCCTCCAGTGAGCACCATGGTGACGGGTGCTCCTCTGTTCACACCAGGCCATTCAGAGAGGCCGGCCATCTCTGGCTGGGAGGGCCCTCAGAAGCCACCTGCTCGGCCTCTCTTCTACAGTGCCTCCAGCGTGGTTCCCCTGCCCGGCTGGTGCCACCGGGGTGATGGGGAGCCACTGTCACTGTGGATAAAGTGTAGGACCGACAGCAGGCTCTCTCTCATCCCGTTGGAGGGCCCACGAGGATGATTTCTGGCAATACCAGCTGGGATTTAAATGTGCACATCCTTCTTCCCAGCTGTCTTCAGTCCAAGTTACCAACAGAGACAAATCCCACACAGGGGGACACAAAAGCTGCACCACAGCACAGCTTAAAGAACGGAGGGAGAAACCAGAAACACGGGACTTCCCACCTGCAGCTCTACTATGCAGTACCATGGACCGGCCCCATATGGCCTGGCAGGGGGGACTGTTGAGAAGTATTCTCRATAAACAAATGGTAGAACATATGTACCCCCTGTCCCTTTCTGTGAGGGTCTATGCACTGAAAGGGGACCAGATGAACACAGTGATCACCTCGAGGGAAGAGGCTGGGAACCGGAGGGTCAAGAAGGACTCCAACCTAGGGCTATTATTGTTGTTTTACAATATGAACATATCCATAATCTATAATTTAAAATAAAAAGAGAGCTGGACGCGGTGGTACATGCCGGTGATCCCAGAGGCTCGGGAGGATCTCAAGTTCAAAACCAGCCTCAGCAAAATCGAGGCACTAAGCAACTCTCTAATACAAAATAGGGCTGGGGATGGGGCTCAGTGGTCGAGTGCYCCTGAGTTCAATCCCCAGTACCCCATCCCCCCAAAAAATCAGTAAAATAGGGGCTGGGGTTGTGGCTCAGCGGTAGAGTGCTCTTATAGCWCGYGCGAGGCCCTGGGTTCGATCCTCAGCACCACATAAAAATAAATAAATAAAATAAAGGTATTGTGTCAACTACAACTAAAAAATAAATATTAAAAAAATCAATAAAATAGACTTCTGGCAAAACTCAGCAAAGAAAGCTACAATTAAGTTTGGGAAAGAGGAAGATAACTAAGATATAAAGGTTCAGTGATTGAGTGCCCCTGAGTTCAATCCCCAGTACCCCCCGCCAAAAAAAATAAATAAATAAATAATAAAAAAGTAAAAACAGAAGACAAAGAAAGAAAGAAAGAGGAGAGGAAGAAAGAAAAGAGGGAAGGAAGCCGGGAAGGGAAACTGTGAAGACAAGAAGCACCAGACAGACAGCCAGGGAGGAGTGGGGACCAGTGAGGGATTTTTTCCTCCTTGATTTTCCTGATTTTATTTAAAGAGAAGAACGTCAAAATAAAACTCCTCTTTCTCACGACGTATTAAAGTTCCCTCTTCAGGCTGGGGTGGAGCTCAGCACGMGTGAGGCCCTCGGCTCCATCCCCAGCACTGAAAATAAAACCCCCCTCAGTCCAGCCCACTCTTCCTGGAACCTCAGAAGGTGCAGAATTCTGTGCACCCAGGGGACACGTGCTGGGGAGGTGAGGAGTCAGGCCTGCTCTGTCTGGAACAACCATTCTCAGCTGTCACCTCCAGCAACGGGGAGCTCTCTTCCCTTTCTCTTAAGCAGCTGGGTATTCGATGCTCCATCTATTGAGCCAAGAGGGGCCTCTCAGTGTCTTTCGCTCACAGGATCTGGATCTGCCAGCTCTGCATTGTCCCCTGTAGACCTTATGTCCAAAGTCCATCCACCATTCCTCATGACACTATGAGACCTTCCCTTGTCCCCCCAGTTGTCATCTCTGGACATGGCCCAGGAAACTGGGCTGGGGGCTGGGCTGGTGCTTCAATGTTGGCTGGAGGAAGGGCAGGCAGGGTGGGGAGAACTAAAAGAAGGGACTCTGCATGTCTCATAACTGCAGGAGTCCCCTAACCACGGTGACTGGCAATTCCTGGGAACTCTCACTGCAGGTGTTTGCTCCAGCCGGAAGCAGTTCAGACTCCAGCTAACTCGGGTCCTGCCCTTTGCCCGTCTGAATCCTTGCTGCTCTCCTGCCCAGGACACAGGTCCTACAAGCCCAGGAGGCCTGTCCAGATCCAAGCCTGATGACTCTCCCGTCATTTAGGACCATGGTGTCCATGGCTGGGAGTGGAGCTAATGATAGTGGTCCCTGCACCCCTGAGCTGGGATCAGATAATGCTGGGAGTGAGTCCTTGGATGACAGGTTCCATGGGAATCCACTGTATTATTATCTCAAGGTCTGAGAATTACCACTTTGGGGGTTCACAGAGCTGAGAACCCTCCTATAAAAACTGTGCCCAATCCARTATGGAGCAAGAAAGAAAAGCTTGGAAAACAGACAAGGCCAGCAGCACACAGCAGATCTCACCCACTCACAGCAGCTACGATTAACATGAGACATGTTTTCCAGAAACTTCTACCAAGGCAAAGCCAACTCTGTCCCAAATGTGTTTGAATTTCCAAAGCCCTGGGAAGAGGTGTGCTATCCGACCCCTATCACCCAAGAGTGGCCCTTCCCAGAAATCAAGATTGAGAAGTCTCCTAGCACAAATGTCTTGGTCACTAATTCTAGTTGGCAAACATGAGCCCCTGCATGAAGGAGGGCAGATCCAAACGTCCAGGAGCCTGTCCTCAGGGAGCTCCCAGCCCCGTGGCTCAGACAGAGATGCAGACAAGGCCAAGGCTAGCACTAGAGTAGAGGAGGGCCTGAGGCCAAGATTGACTCAGAAACCATGAGTCTGCAAGCTCCCTGCAGCTCCCCGGGCAGGCTCGGCCAAGCAGGGCTCCTCAGGGAGGGCCAGGGCGCCCCCTGTTAGAACAGTGACCAAATCCAGCAGGCCAGGCTCCAGGCTCCCTGGTTCCTTCCCTCTGGGCTCACAGATGAGGGTAAAATGAGACCCTCCCTGGCACTGTGCCTGCCCTCTCTGTCCTCCCCATCAAATGTGCAAGTCAAGGCTCCTGAAATCATCTTGTCCAACTCTTCATTTGGTACCCAGAGCAGTCATGCCCAGAGTCCAGAGCCAGGACTGGAGGCCAGAGGTCAGCCCTGACCCCAGCACTGCTTCCTGTGTGACAGTCTTCTAGAACAGTTATCATTCTCAAATGAACACCAGCCCCATGGCATCTGCCAACTCAACCCTTGGGTTCAGGAGGAGAGAGAGCCACAGACCCTCAACAGGGTGCCTCAGTTCTTCTCAAGAAGTCAAGAGGAAGCCAGGAAGAGGGGAGGCTCTGAGAAGCGTCTCCAATTTAGAAAAATAAGCCATCAGCAGGAGGAGGACTCTTCAGCTGGATAGGCACAAACTGATCAAGTGCTTCCCAAGTCCCCCATCCCTGGCCTTTCCAATAGTCCTGCTTCCTCCCACACTTGGGAGGGCTGTGGAGGGTGGGGGTGACCTATGAGAGTTCCCAGGAATGTTCAGGCCGAGGGCCTGAAGTCATCCTCATGAGGCGTGTACCGGGGCCCTGGAGGGGGCATGTTCCCATTCCCCGTGGGCTGCAGTTGGGCACCACCTCTGGCTGCAGAGGCTGGTGGTGACAGATACCCAGGGTGGCTGCCACAGTGCTACCAGGAAGCAGTGACCTGGAGACAAAGTGAGAAGACACAGGCCTTCCTAGGCCAGAGAAAATGCTGAATAAGAGTGAGTTTCAGAAAGCTTGGAGAGGGCAGTGAGCCCAAATTCTGCTGGGCACAGGATTGGGGGTACAGACTCACTGAGCACCAGGCCAAGGGTATGATGGGAGTCAGCTACAGAAATTAAATGGGCAGATCCCCAGCAGAGGACAACCACAGGGAGATGAAATCCGACTCTCAAGACAGTCGGGAAGAGATGTGCCCAAAAAACAAAGACATGGGCTGCAGCCCTGGCTACACTCAGAGTTCAAAGGCATGTATCCCCAAGGAAGCCCCTGCCAACCTAGGATGTGCACAGAAGTCATCCACCAGAGACCTGCCTGGTAGCATGAAGCAGCAGCCATCCCCAAACCCAATTCACCCCAAAAGCAGGGTGGTCACACTTGAAAAGTCACAGGAAGGATGATACCAGGACAAATGTACCAAGGAGGTCTGGTCTGTGCAGCCCAGCCAGCCGCTAATATCCATAAATTCACCCTCCATTTATGAGTCTGCCCTCAAGCCTACAAGCAAGATGAGGGAGTGTTTTTTCTTCCAGAAAGGTTGCTCTGGCCAGCAGACGTCTTCTAGTCTACTCAGCATTACCTAATAAATTAACATTCAGATCTGTGGAATTGGATTCCTGTGGATCATTTGCAAAGGATTCTAGGTCCTTCCTGGGCAAGCCAGTAAATTAAACTTTGTGAATCTACCCCAGTCAGCATCTGAGGTTGGCTGGGCCATCACATCGCCAAAGCCAGCAGTCTGTGGGGCCCTGACTCAAGCCTCTCACTGGCCTCCTGTGATCCCACACCAGTGGGCAGGGCCACGGTAAACCCCTGGGCTGGGCACACACATGCGGAGAAGGAAGGTGACCTTCTTTGGATGTTTACTGGGTAACTCAACATTCTACTACATGCTTTTTGTTTATTTTATTCCTCCAACAACTCCATGAAATAGTTCCTATTTTTAATCCTCATCTACAGGAAGGGAAACTGAAGGCTAAGAGTTAAACAAGCCACCCAGGTCACACAGCCAGTTAAGTGGCAGAACTGGGGTTGGACGCTAGGCAGTCCGGTCTAGGGAACCCACTTTTAGCCACTCTRTCCCTGTGGGGGGCTCAAAATTGGTCTGCAACATCACTGATGCTCCTCCCTCCTGTTGTGAGATGGACTTAGCTGCTTGTTTCTAACAAAGAGAATGTGGTTGAAGGGATGATGGGTGATCCCCCAAGAATAGGATGTAACAGGCATTATGGGCTCCTTTAAAAAAAAAAACAGCTATATTGATTTAAATTCACCAATTGAAAGCATGTAATTCATTGTTAT